TAGAGACGTTACTAGGTTAGTGTACAATGCTCATACAATTTATATTATTATTTTTTTTTTCACATAGTATTTCTATTGGTACACACTATACACGTCATAATACACGATATTACAACGAGCGTTAATTATAAGTGGGTATTGACACTCAAGAAAAAAATGTCTTCTTTCGATTTAATTGAAGACCTATACTATGTATTATATTTTATACACTACGTAATAATTTTTAGTAATTATTACTTGACTTTTGAAGTTTCGCTTTAAAATAAAATAATTTGATGTTGTCATGTTATGTGTTGGGTACTTGATATGATTTATAAATTCTTATAAAAATGACTTATTTTTTTTTATTAAACTTTGTAAATGAGTACAAGGTAGTACCTACGAAAAATTCACTTTCACGAATTTTTATGTTTTAAAAAGAGTCAAAAATCGTACCGTTATATACTTTAGTTAATTATATTCACCGATTTTCGGTCGACCTTCACACATAATCGCTTTAAGGCTTAAAAAACGATTGTAAAAGGGGCCGGTCAGTTCAGTTTACCGGACTTTTCATGTATACCAAGCAGTGGTATATTTGCTGGGGAGGGGGGGGTATTAGGAAGATATATCTCCCCCTTGACCTTTTTTAAGCATCTGTTATCTATATAACAACTAGTACCTTTTTTTAAATCAAATGTTTTTATTTCTAAGTCATAAAAATAATGATGAACTCTATATACCTACAGTTAATGTATCAAAAAAACCTGAACGTATACATTTTCCTGTTGAAAACGTAACCCATATCCAAACTACTATAATAATATTATAATGTTCTATAACAATAATATTATAGTCATCTCACCTCCTTCATATTATAAAGGGGGTGAGATACCGAGACTAGTACCTAAATTGTAAACAAATTTATAATATAGGTATAATTATTTACATATAACTCTAGGTATATCTATACCTTGAGTTATTTGACATCAATGATAAATTTAGGGTACATTGAATTATAATAATTAATTACAAAAATATATAAATTGAAAATTGATTAATTTTTTATTCTTTATCTGTGTATACGTTATAAAATATGACACAATTTTCCAATTTAATATCTCCCTCCTTGGCAAAATCCAAAACATGCTGTTGTATTTAGCTTTTTATATTAGCTCATCGGTAGTCTATCGGTCTGAATCGTTAGTTTTTCATTTTTGTTTGAAATAATAATCCAAAATAAAACATACCACCGGCGTTAAATGTTCGACCTCGGTATATTTGAACAAATATATTTTAAATCGCAATAATACCAACCGATTTGTATTTTTTATTTCTACATTTATTGTCAGACATTTTTATTTCGGTGCTAATGTTTTGTTAATGACTTATCCGATCGTTTTTGTCTTGGGCTAAAAGAATTATTATGATGTATGCGTACGCACAATATTATACATACCTATATTTATCGCGTGATGTTATTGTTTACGAATCATTGCATCATCGACTAATTTTTGACTGGTGATAAGTCTAGAGTTTTATATTGAAAATAGCACAAATGATTGCATATATTTTATTACTTTATAATATGCTAGTCGAGCGTTGAAATAATAATAATAAAAAAAAAAAATCTGTCTCAATGTCAAAATTACTTAAAATATGAGTAATAACTAAATTGTAGGAATTATGTAATATACTTATAATACAATACGATAATATACAGTTATATGATAGCAGGATGGTCAATACATTTTTGTATCGATGATACGAAAATCTAAAATAAATCAAATGGTATTAGCTATAGTTTTTGGAAATGGCCAAATTCTGCAGGATAATGCTTTGAATACTCCTACATAATATGTATTTTATACCCATCCTTATGAAGAATAGGGATACATGTTGCATATGCACCATGATGTTAGAACGAACAATGTGATTTTAGGGTTTTTCAACTTTCACCGTCTGTTTGTAAGTTAGTTAAAATCTCGTGAACGACTTTAGCTATTTTGATAACGTTTTTTGTTTTCTTATCGTCAATGGCTAATCATCAATGGTTCCTGAAAAATCATATTTATTTCAATGGTATTTAAAAGGTAGATGCCTCTTTTTTAGACGACATTTTTTTGACTTTATATCGGTTTTTTTGGGGGGAATTCAGATCACTTTGATCCCGCCCCATAAATCTGCAACTTCTTATCAATATACCGCGAAAGGGAATAAGATATTTGCTATACTCGAAATAGGAAAAAGGCAGTGGACCTTGATATAGAGCTTTGGATAGGAGTAGAGGTTAGACGTAGTCAATGGGTGTAAATACAAATACACTTTTTAACTTTAACCAAATTTTTCACTTATACCCCGGTAAAAACTCGCTCCACATACAAAATATTGCCTATAAAATTCCGAAACCAATAAAATCATTGAAAATATTCTAAGCATATGCAATTTATTTACTTCACTGTTTTTTATTTTGCGGTATTCCGATCGTTTTTTTTTTCCCGAAATGACAAATCTATTAACTACTAAATAATATACGTCATACCAAAACGAATTTGAGAGTGCTCTCACCTATCAAAAATTATACTCACTAAGTTTGCGTAAAAGTAATTTCTTATATTTTATAGTCGATTGTATTAAAATATTCGATTGAAATCGATTAATCGATTAACCGATAATATCGAAATCATTGATACTATCAGTAAATCAGCATTTGCAGTGACGATGACGGTAAGATAGCAGTAATTAATTGAACATATAATAATGTTACCTATCGTGTTATCTTAATAACTGTGTTATCAATATAATCGAGTATCAACATTATCGATTAATCACGCAGGCCTAATACAGACATGATTATGAATATTATTTTAAACAAAAACCCATCATTGATGTGAAAACCATAGTACTTATACATTTTTCATTTCGTTTTGAACCAAGGGAGAAAGAGTTTTTTATATTTATATTATTTAACCAAAATTCGTATATTATTATTCGTATCGATTTTACGTAAAAACGTTGAAAAAGAAATTTTATTTAATCAAATTACTACATTCGTCATTATTTTATACATTAAATAGCATGACATGTTTTTTTTTTTATTATATATACGTATAAATTGCATATATTCGGTAGTTTTGTAAGTACTTAAAATTAATAGCGAGTATATACGAGTCAAACTTACTACCTAGTATAAAACCGATAGACCATTACGAATAACGATAGTAATATTGCACGTTGTTACGTAACAGTTTCGGGCCAAATATATATATATATATATATAAAAAAAAAAACTAGAGCTTGTAATATAAATTATAAACATGATGCATTTATTCTTCGGTAAACAAAAGTTGGAGTATCTACTTAAAGTACAATAAATAGGTAGGTATATTTTCGTTTAATAAATCGAATTCGGCCGATTCACTCGTATACAATTCAGATAGTTCGAAATTTGTTTGGTAGTTCTTTTTTAAAATTAATTTTTCCCTTTTAGATTTTCTGAGTGCAGCGAGGAATGTATTTGTTATACTATATCTATATGGGACTTAAATGTTTATTATTTTTTCTGGTCTGTGAACAAATTTTCAACCAGAAATCTTATTCCGATTTTCAAGTGTATAGTATCGTTTCTGAAAGCAATGTTTATCAAGTTGTATGCTTAGACAATAACAAAATTAAAAATTAATTTTTAAAAAAATTGTAAAGATCAGTGACTTTCTAAACGTGGTAATATTATTCTGGCCATTTTTAGGTCGTTTGAATGTTCGAGGTTTTTCTTTATTTTTATTTGGTTTTATGTCGATGTGTGATTGTAACCGCTGGTTACAATAATATAACATTGTTAAAACATTTTGAGTTTTCCAAAAATGTTCATTAGTTTTGTACATAAGTCATCATAAATTCTTACGGCATTTTAAAAATCTGTAATCACGATTTTTCGAAAAGAATCGTAAAAATCACGGAATTTGGCGTAATAAGTTTTTTCTGAATATAGAACTGTTTTTATTTATACATAATATATGGAAAAAACTTTTTCTGCTCTATAAAAATGTTCATAAACTTGAGATGAATAAATTACACGGACAATATTAATTTATTTCGTAGTTACAAATGCAAATGCATTTACAATTTACAATTTTGTTTATCAAAACATAATCAATTGAACTTTGTTATAAATCGTTTTTCATTGAAGTAATGATTTATCGATGAGTACAGAAAAATCCAATCACCTTGTATATCCTACCTTTCCAACTGTCCGTCTACAACAGTGATGTCTACCCAGTGTGACTCCTGGGCAACCGTAGACGTCCGTATTTTTCTAAAAAAAAATTGTGTACCGTTAAAAATGCAGAATTGCAGAGAAATCTATTGGCACAATGTATATTATAGACATTTTGACTTAACCCCTTTACCCTCTCCATCCCGGGTCTCTGTGACCGCCACTGCGGTCTACCCGTGAAGCGGTCCGTACGTGAAGCGTAGCGGCTACGCGAAAAACAACCGCGTAGTGTACTGGATTTTTTTTTTTTTTTTAGTTACTTATCTGTTACGTCGATAAATTTTCTCGGAACATCTATAAATACCGTACTTCTTATAACCTTTATGATTATAATACTCGTGTATGTTTTAAAGTGTTACACACGAAATTATGTTTATATATGTGTATACGCCTTTATAACGCAACGGAAAACAAAAGAGAATACTGGAAGACTATGTGATATAGCGATACTGTGTAATGTAACTTGTGCACAATATTGTATTATTATTCGTTTTTTTTTTTTTTTTTTTTTTATATATACACACGTGCATAAAAACCCGTCCTTCCGCCTTTAACACGGCGGCGGCTGTTATAATATATTGTTAATGCTAGCTCTTATTTTTACCGCAATAAGGTCAATTATTGTGATACACAAATCTCAAGGTTTATTATAGACCGGCCCGCGTGTACGCGATATTCGCGGCGGTTGACGGTGGCGACAGAAGAATTAGCGCCACTTCTTTTTTGTTTGCACGCCGTACGCAACAGCGCGTCTCGCCACGGGTCGCATCGATAGCAAAAAGCGTTTTCGCCGCGGTCCGATTCCACCGCACGGGACAACCGGCGATTTTCCGCGGGCTTTGGCGTTTCAAATTTTATTACGTCTACCTACACAGGACGCCTGTACTTAAAGTAAGAACTGTTAATGGTTTTATTTTTTACTAACCATTAAGTGATTTACGGTTTTACAAAATGAAAAACCATTTTGTTTTTTTTTCTTTTTCATACAAACGAATAATTATTTATAATTTATTTGTTTTATCTGTATGTATAAATGCATTCGGCTAACAGAATCATAACGCGTATTATTGATAAGGAGTATATAATATATTATTATTATACTAATTATGTAATTCATATATTATTATAGGTTCCTACCTAGTATCTACATTATATTCGTATATGAATGAGTTCATTTTTATTTTTAACTCTAGAATCATATTTAAAATTAATACTTATGCGAATAAATGTTTCAAATAGTTATTGTATTTATTTAATTTGAAAATTCGATTGAAATATGATTATTTAACAATATTATAGCTGTATATAAAGCTAAGTAAATAATTCATATTGTTTTGTATAATTGTATCCAAATTATAATACACGAAAATTGTATAAAATCGTGGAATGTACTTCCATGACGCTCAAAGTTGTAAAATACAATTTAGAAGACCCAGTAATTATTTATCATTTTACGTCATTTCATTGTTTTGTGTGTCAATAATAGATTGGAAGTAAAATATAGGTCGATGTACATTTTAAGATTTCGGGTTGGTTTTTTTTAACTTTGAAAAACAAAAACGAAAAAATGCGGTTTAATAACAGAGTACAAAAGAAAAGACGATTTTATTTGTATTGTTTTGGTCAATACCCACCGAAATCCGGTTTTTTTTTTTACATATTTCAGAACGTTTTCATTGATATTATTTTTCAAACCATAAAATATAATACTTATGTACGTAGTTATGTATTATAATATCGAACTGTTTTATTGACAAGATGATCGTTCGATGTTTGTGATTCGATTTTTATTACCTAATTATAGTATTATTGGAACGTTGCTCATATTCTATTATAACGGCTAAAATGTTATTAATTAGTCTTTATACGACGCTGAGAAAAATAATGTACTTATTAAGCTACGTTTGTAAACATATACGCTATAGTATACGGTGTGTTTCAAAAGATATATTATCATATTCGGCCAGCTCTGTCTTATTATAAACATCCTGTGGTCTAAAATTACATTATAAATATTATAATTAATTCGCATCATACATATCAGTATTTCGTTTATAAGCAATAAGATCGTTTTGTGTATTCGTATTATTGTGTTTCGTTCCTATTTGTATAACAAAATTCTACTCGAATGTAATATGCGAACATGATAGTGCGTTGCTGAACGCAAAAAAAAAAAAAAATAATAATAATAATAATAAAGTGTAAATTTATCTTGCAGTGTACAAAGAATTAAATTGTACATTTTCTGACTGTTCTATATTTAAAAAAAAAGACACACCGTGCCCTTGACTTCGAACAAAAGTGAATGCGTAGGGTGAAATGTCAGACTGATGATTGCATTCGTATATTTACGACCGTCCTAGTTGGACTGAAATTTGGCGAAGGAATAGTCGAAAAATTTACTTAATTTCGGCAATAAAAAACTGGGTATTCGACCTATAAATTAATATTAATTATGATGCGCGTGTTATAATTTTATGAAATTTAACCTGAAACATCTACTGAAATACAACTAGTTACTAATTTTATGGCTGATATTGACCAGTAAAATATAAATCAATAACGTAGAACTTTAATATTTATATAATGACGCAGTCTTATGTATGCTTAAACGCACAAAAGCCTTCTTTCGTTATTAAGGTTTCTTTCGAGAAGGTGAACAATTGAAGGAAAAAACATCCGGAATTCTTACAACTGTTGCGATTTTATACACATTAATTTTAAATTTACAAAATTGTATAACAATTAATATTAAAATTTTAAAATAAATTTTAAATGTACTCGTATACAGTCAATACTTTATAGGTACATTTAGAGGCACTTTGAACAAAACAAAACAAAAATATCATTTTCGTGCAGTTGTAATTTAATTGGTTTTTATCTTATAAATACACTATATAGCTATATTACCCGGCTTCGCCCGTGGGCAGTTTCATAACTTAAATTTCAAATATTATTTTTATATTTCGCTTGCATAAGAGGTAGCACATTTGTTAAATAATGTTTGTCAACATAATAATTCAAAAACTAAATAATTTTGAATAATTTTGTATTGTAATTTATTGCATGGCTGTTAACTGACTCTCGTACCGCCTATTGTAAAATCTGGAAACTAAGGGTAAAATTACTTATTAGGAGGTTGTTATTCACAGGGGTTATGACTGTTTATTTTTTGTTCTTAGTCTTATAGTAACTCTAGCTCTCCTGACCCGCCATTATTGTCCGTCTATTGTAACAAACTGACCTTAAAAAACTTAAAATATGATATTGATATTTACTGACGACCCGTGTAAGATGGTACTGGTATATCACACTTAGAATATTATAATATATATACGCGTACTCGGATATACATGGTTGAACATGATTTTTGTTAACTTCGAAAAATATTCAGCCACAATAATATAACAATTATACAAATTGAAATTGTAGCGTTGCGGTTCGGCTACGTTAACCTCGCCACTATTTTTTTCTAAGCAGAACAATTTGTAAAATTACGCACAATTCTTATTCTTGTAAAATTTACTAGCTCTCTGGCGCACAGTGGCATCGCTTACACGTTAGAACCCAAAATGAAATAGTTCCCTCGCTACGCTCGGAATTTAAAATGTAGCTGGCGTATTTAAATATTGTTATTATTTATTAATGTGATACATGTTAATTTGATTATAAATTTGGCACGATCCTATATAATATTATAAACCACGTGTCAATAAGATGCATAATACGTATTATATTGCCATCGAAATAATGTCTTCTTGCGAATATATTTTCAACAATGATTGAAGATCATCAGATTAAAAACTATCATAATTATTTTATAATATATGTTGTATAATTAATTAATTATAGAGTATGTAAATTGTTCTTTATTATACAGAGCAAATTAATGCAGTATGATTTGTCCGTATAGGTATATATCTTTCAACGCAATAGTGTTCTAATCAAATAACTATCATAATTTCAACATTATATTGTGTGCATTTTCACATTTCAGACTTGAGCATGATGAGATTATCCGTATCCAGAATAACTGTTCGGTCACCGCCGTCCAGGAAACGTTCCTTGCCAACTAACTGCACATCACTCAATAACCGTAAGTAAATAACCGGCGTCGTTTCTCGTTTTGCTGTAGTATATACAATATTATACTATTGATACAATATGTAAACATGTAAACAAATGGGTTTTTTGTCCTACGTTCGCGCGATGAAAAATAATAAAACGAATTCTGACAGAAAAAAAAAAATCCGCTGAACAATATTCTATTTTCGATTTTTCTATTTTCACGAGAGAACCGCGTATGATCAGGTACGCTTCGACGTTTACCTCTATAAATAAGAAATCTAAGCGGGGGAGGGATAAGAGAAATGGCCATTTCTGTCTTGTCCGAAACACATTAAATCAAGGGAGCCGTTACAGAGGGGCTCTGGGGCTGCAGCATCCCATAAGGTTGATAAAACGGAACTCAGCCTCCCACGGTTCTCATATTATATATAAAAAAAAAATCAATATTTGACATGTAATTAAGAAAAAAAAAGTTTTTTTTTTTTTTTTGATATTGTTGGCAAAGAAAAAGTGCAGATTTTGGTAATCAACTAGGTTTTAGTTAACTGGTGTCTGGTATCTGGCATTTTTAAATTTTTGTTTTTTCATTTTTCATGAATACTATAAAAATGTTATACCACACAAAACAACAAATAACTATATTTTGGTAATTGTTTAACGAACAATTTAAGGAAAACAAAAATAGGAAATATATGGTGAGATTTAGGTAAAACTTACTGTACGTGTGTTTATAAAATAGTGAACCTTCCATGACATTTTTAAAACCTGGCGCCTCTGCGTTAAATAAATTAAAAATTGAAAGTGATTGTACAAAAATAATTATTTCAATTTCATAAACTCGCCCCTCTCCGTTCCTAAGTTACAAATTTCTGCGGGCGACTATGCTAATTGATGGTTGTGGAAAAAAATAACGAACCGTGTCGGGGAACAACGTTTTGCCGTTAGCGCGCTCTGGCGGAATCTGCCTAATCCGTTGTTGATATAAACATAATCATGCATGTGTTAAACGATTATAATTAATTTAGAATTAAATGTCGTAGCAAATCGGATATATATCACTTTTTTGACCAACTTAGCGGACGGGCAGCAATACAAATTACCGAACGAAAATTCCTTTTAAACAATAATTATAAAAGTGGTTATACCCTTAAACAAAACGAAAACGTAGTTGTGCGTAACCGCGATATTATCGCCCGTAGCATAGGCGTAGAATGGCGAGCTTTATCCCCTCCCCCCCGGGAACTTTGTTTAGCCCCCCGAGTAAAAATGTACTGTTTTGTACATCCACGCGTGAGGATTTAAAAACTATTTTATTCTATTTTATTATTTTTTTTTTATAAAAATAAAAATTATTGGTGAAATATAAGATATGTTATTCAATAATTCAAATTTTGAAAATTAATCCCGTGTATATTATTATCGCTATATTACATCATACCGATAACAATAATAATGTTTTCATTTGTTTTATACACGTATATGTATATGTATACGTGTGTATATCGTAATGTATAGTCGATCTGTAGCACTGTGGTCTATAACGTTGTCGTCGTCCGCCGATGGTGTCCGGGGAAAAACCCACGGTTGCGTCTTTAATCGTAGAAAAAACCAAATACGTATCGTGTTTAGGTTAACAATAATCTAATAATAGGACGGGGCAGCGACACGGCGATGACGAAACGCGAGTGGTGCGTAGTTAATGTAGTGTGCCACGTGTACAAAACTATTTCACCAGTGATAAAACCGGCGCCGAACTTTCTGATGTTAATACGGACGAGAGAATGTGTGATGAAGACACGCAGTTCGAGCTCTGGAAAATTAACCGTTATTTCAGGATACTTGACTGTGTCATATCAGTTTTGAGAAGCAAGTTTTCAACAGATAGCCTGAAATTTGGACTCGGTATTAATGATTTTGAAAAGTCAAAATATTACGAAAGTTTACATTTTATTGAACATAAACGAAGTTAGGAAAATATACAAAAATATATTATATTAGTTCTTGTTTTTAGAATGCTTTATGTATTTGATAAGAACCAACTTCACACGGAAATGTTAATTATGAATTGTATTTGTAAAGATGATTTTGACATAGATGCCATCGTTACTTCATATTGAAAAGGACTTGGCTAATATTATTGATTCAGAAGGTGTTCTTAATATATTTGCCCAAAAAAATAGGCGTTTAAACTTGATACTGTAACAATTTCCTATTTAAAATGTGCTCTTTTTATCATCTTTATAATTTGTTCCTTTACATTTTTTGTTTTTTTTTTTTAAGTTACATTCTTAGAATATAATATGTTGTGTACCCGAATCATTGTAGGCTTTCTCCCCCCCCACACATATAAATCCATAACGCTATTCCATGCAGCGCTTAAGTATTTATTTTTATTTGCATTGAATTATTTTGAATTTAAATACATTTATCTATATTATGTAAACGGCATACCCGCATGTCTAAATCCGCGTATTATTTTACTGAATACGTTGATTATAATTAAATACAAAATCAATAAGTTAAAAGTTCTTGAGGTGGTTCCCGAAATCCCTCTCTGAATGGCTTTATGTTTTTTCAGGGGAGTGGCTACTCGCGAGAAGGTGCGTATACATATTACCATGCATGTACCCATGTAAAAAATTTTGTTAGGGCCACATCCTCCCCCCCCCCCTCCAAACACAGAAAACCATCACGCTACGCCCACCGGGCCGTCGAATATGTGTTATTGCGGCCGCGAACACAATAATCGAACGCGTAAAATGTTAAAATCACCGCGGCCAAACGTATTGTGCGTTCAGTTTTTTTACGCGCATTCGTCAATGCCCGTCGAGATTACTCGAAAAGTTTTAAATTTCAGTCGGCAAATAACGCTGCCGGTGCCGCCGCAAAAGATTACAACAATGCCCATTAAAAGTCAAAAGTGTTAAAAGTTGCTACTACACACACAACGATATTGCCGATCGATTTTACGCGTCTGCGCGGACGCGTACGTATAGAACGTTGTGATTTCCGTTTGTTTTTGAAACGCCATTACGCTTACGCGTAATAAATCGAATGTTGTTACGGTACGCGCGATACGAAACCCGAATCGACACGAGACAGTAGAGTTTTCATTCGTGGTTTTTTTTTTTTTTTTCCCACGTCGTCATTGTTATTATAGGTTGCAACTCGGCGTTTTACCGTGCACGTTTCATCGCCGTATACATAAAAATTGTTGTACACGAAATTCGCGCGTCACCGTGGCGCGTCCATGTTTTCCTAAAATAAAAAGCGCAACTTGCATGCACGCGTACAATACCCGATATAGTTGTGTTGTGAAAACTTTATTGGACGTCATATTCGATACGGTATTGTTGTTGCAGTCCGCGTATCGCATTGAATAATACGCGGGCAACTATAGTTTTTCTATGTTTTTTTTTTTTTTTTTTTTTTTTTTTTTTTCTATTATTGTGTTGTGTTGATCGTGCACGCGTGCAAGCGCTTACAGCCGTGTTACGCCATCAAATATAATATTGTATTGATATAATTCGGCAACGCAATAACCTTATAAAGCGTACGGTATAGAGATCAATGCGAGATCGTTTTATGTCCGCGAAACCGCATTGTGTGTGCGGTGCGTTATTCCATTAGAACGCGTAAAACGGTTTAAGGTACAACGGTATGCGTGTATACAGGACGGTTGTTTTGCGCGTATTATCACGAACCGCCGGCGATCGCGGGGAAAACGCGGTGTCCTCGTGTGCAATACGAACAGTAATTACAACAATCGGTTCGGGGTTTCGCGTCCGTCGTGTACCCCGAGCGTTTAAAACGTGTGGTCGTGTACGACGTTTCCGAAAGTGTCACCCGTTTATTATTCCGTATACAATTAACGAGAGACGGGCCCGTGTATACGCGATGTCCGACGTATTCCGATTTTCTGCACGCCGGATCGGCGGAAAAAAAAAAACGATTAAAAAACGAATTTACCGGCGATTCGCGACGAAAGAACAAGCACCTAATAATAATAACGATAGTAATAATAATGGAAAAAACCCCCCGTTTTCTGATAAACGCGTCACACTCCCCGACCAATAATACGACAGCCCTCGTTTGAAGTGTTATAATATTATTTCTGTTGTGGTTATTGTTATTGTAAAACGTGTTTGATCGGTTTAGGGTATAGAAAAAAAAAAAAAAAAAAAGAAAAAAATAGGGAACATTTTCAATATCCAATAATAATTTATAACGGTCGCCGGTGTCTGTATAAATATTAATATAATATGCGTCTTTTTTAAATAGCTTTTATTTTGTTCAAAGTCGTTTGCGTATTTTATCGACCAATCAGATGTTTCTCGCGTTATATACGTCAGTATATTCCTCTTGGCGTGACTCATATTACGGTATACAATTTGTATATATATAACATTTAAATTCATGTATATTCAAAACGAGGTTCACACATAAACAATAACGGCACGAGCTGTATGTATAATGTGTACTGTAAAGTTGGACCTTGAAAATTTGCTATTTTTTTTTTTTTTTGTCGCTCGTGTTTGTTAAGTATAGGCGCGTAAATTGTTTTTTTTGTTTTTTTTTCTGCGCCGTATTATATTGTACACGATTATTTTACGCGTTCATAAAAATTATAATGTGCTTAAAAAAAAAAAAAAAATTAATAAAAAAAGTTTTTTTTTTTTTTTTTCGAAAAACCACGTGATATTAGTATCTTGTACATTATCAGCTGCAGTGGATATAAGATAACGAGAAAACGAAAAACAAAAAAAACAAATACACCTCCCCCGAAATAAAAGATCAATAATGTTGTATAAAGAGTCGCAGGTGAGTCATACGCCATAATATCATATATACAATATTATACTCTTACCCCCTTATTGACGCGGTGATGTATTATACAGAACGAACATCGTCGTCGTTTATAGCACAATATATAAGTGCTGGAAAGTTTATGTTGCAATAAAAATATGTCCTTAGATTTGTCGAACGGGTCCGTCAGTGGCGTGCGCAAGAGCGGGACGTCAGGGGGTGCATCGTCCGTCCCATTCGCGTAAAAACACAACAGCTATGAATGTTCAACTTGAGTGATTTTATCTTGATATTTCGGCTTACAAGTTATACGCTCGGTTTATTGAATGGGAATTGGTGTTTTTGGATCCGCGGCTTTTCCACTCTTATCGCAGCCGAGTAACTCTTCGCGAGTTAGGTACAACAAAAGAAGATTCAATACGATTTATTCACGAATCGTGATTATTATTTCGCTGCTGAAATCCATCGTGCGCCCGCTTGTCTATAATGTATCGTCGGCCTAATTCTCGATTGTCGTAACTCCAATTTTGTATTCGTGATATTTTCAATTATTATAAACGATAATGCATCGTTTAAAAAGCGCAACGGCTTTAACAAACAATTCATCATCTGTGCTGATAAAATTACAACGAAAGTGTCTCGTTGAAAGAAAAGACTTCACTCCATCGTATGAAACACTGTCATTTTGAAGTCAGTACTATTGCGACTGAAACGTTTTATGTTTCTCCTGAATAGTTTCCATTTTTGAGTTAGGACAATAATAATTGCGGGAAATCAGGCCGGCGATATAAAACGATTTCTGCATACACTCGACAAATTCATTGAAACTGCATATTATTATGATGTACAATAGGTTTTAGTGTAGTGAACCTATCGACAAGTTATAAATATTCGTCTTTATAGATTTAAAAAATTATTCCTGTGGTGTATTAACACAGTGACGTGCAGAACATTTTTCATATTTGAGGCGAAACAAAAAATAAATAAAACCCATCCAATCAAAACATGGATTTTTATGGACGTCCTACGAATAATTACAGCGACAACTTTATTTGACTACATTGTCTACATAATATAGGCTATGATATAGGTAGGTATATTAATAATATAATACACAAAAGGCATTTCTGATCTCTGGACTGGTCAATCTCAATCAACATTTAAAATATTTAGTCATACACACACTCACCCACCCATTTTAGTCATGAGGCTATTGTCACGCCACTGCAGTATTATTGTATACTATAATTGAATGATTAAAATTAGGTTGACACGTTTTACATTGACATCAATCACTTTTCAACTCGACTTGTTTATTTTTATTGTGGGTATTATTATAATTACACAAACACGGCTTTACACAGTAAATTTTCATAAACATCCTGTAGTTATATTTTAGCACAATATTGAAAGTTGTCGGGTTCGAAGACTGATGATATTTTTCAAAATTCGAACTGTCGCGGTGCAATCAAATTTAATCGGTCGTATCGGGTAGTATACACTGCATATTTGATGTACAATTAAGAATTATAAAATTTCATAACAATATAATATTATTATACACAAAACGGTAAACATTGAAACCCACTGAATATTACGTCACATTATGTTTAACGTTAATTTGTTTTGGTGAAATAATTAAAAGTATATTTTTTTAACGGTTAAATTCACGTTTGTCTAACTTTTAAGATTCAACTTGTCGGTGGCGTGTTTCGTTAATCAAACTTAACGCAATTAAGTATTTTAATCGATTCAGTTGCAATTTAATTTTATAATAGCTCACGAATACGTCATGGTGCATATGAGTTATATATGTCACGTTATAAATAATATTACAAGTATAGGTGCAATAAGTGCATGTTATAGGAATAGTTTGATGTTTACTCGGTGACGTTATAATATTTGACGATATCGACTTAATTTATACTCGTGCAATATTAGTACTACATAGTTAACTACTCGTGCTCTGGCAAACATCAAATATTAGTCTACGAAAAATGACGACTTTCGAAATTCAAATATTACTTTGATTATTCTTGTTCGGCGATTTCACGTCTATGTATATTTGTTAATAATTTCTTATAAACCGGTAATTTTTGCCGTTGTATAGTTTTTGTTTTTCAAGTAATTTTGATGTTAATATGCACGTATAAATTATGCAATCTGTTATATTTGTATTTTTATAATAAATATTATATTTCACACAGGTGTATTGTAACAGTGTATAATTAAAATAATAATTATATTTTATCGTTATGACTTATAGTATAATGCATTCAAATGGATTATATATAGGTTTTAAAATGATAAACTGAGGGCCATAGAAGATTCTCGATAATGTACACAGGTATATAAAATACACAGCATATTATTATATTATATCTTATTTTTCATTATTGAATAGACAAAAAAAATAAAACAAAACAATAATTATGTAAACTATGTAATGTAATATTGTATCGTGTTAGGTATTGTTAAAAAAAATAAATAATGTATACGTATTTTAATGATGTCGATAAATATGTTTGATAATACTGTGTACTTTTTTTTTTACACCCATTAATAATAACGTATACATATATATAGTATAGTATTGTCGAAATTAAAATTTCGTAACCATGTACAATAATATGAATTCATCGTTCAGTTTATAATATTATAATAAATCACACAAAAAGTAAGAGTATATTGAATATAATTTGCGAGGTTTATCCGCGGGATTTGGCAGTTTTCTATACGCAATTGCATAATCCAAGAGCTGTATTTGTAGTTGTATACAGGTTTTGTTCGTATTTTTTTTTCTTTTAAATATTACACTTCTCATATTATAATTTAAAAACTGATTTTAAATTCAATTATCGCTTTTATCGCACATCGATCGTTGCTTTAGAATCAATAACGACTATTGATAAAATACGTAGGTATCGATAAACTTCTTTCTTATACATACGAAATCGCTTTCTAGCTCGCCAACCATTTCGATTAAAGGGGGTATTTTAAAGGATTTTGATTGGGCGACATTATACACAGAGCTATAATGACTAGAGACCTAATTCTCATAGACGTAAATAGGGGAGGAGCGTTAGAAGGGCTTAACTCTCCCCGAGCAATCTCAAGTCTCTTAGAAAGTATTTGAATTAATTTAGTACCTATTTAATAGCATACGTCTAAAACATATTGCTGGCTCAAGCCCTATGTATTTTCAGACTCTATGTATACGCTAGTCTTATGTAAACCTAGAGTAAATGAGTATACAAACCTATTGTAGGTTTAAACGTGTCTCTCCATCCCCTTAATTTCCATTTCCCAAAGCAGACCAATTCTCGGCTTCAAATGGAATAAATAAGTAGTTTGTATGTCAGTTATAATCAGGCACTTTTAAGTTTAAACGGTCGAATATAAGTGGATTACACAAATCAAAAAATACCGGATTTAGTCATTATTTTGATTTTTAACGAATAACAAACTGTCCGGAACCCGGGACTTGAGTCGACCTTTAAGATGCGCATAAATTCTTCATTAAGAGGCACTCGCCTACTAGAAGTATACTACGTGTCTATGTATAATAATTTACTAATATTTAATATTTAATAGTATGTTTAAATATATTTTAATTTCGAATTATATCAATATTGAAGACCGTCGAGCAACAATCGCACAACTCCATATTTTTTGTCCTTTCTAGAAATTGTTCAAAAGCGATAAAACATTTATTTTAATTTTTTCCGATTGTTGCAACAGATTAAATAAAAAATAATAATTTTGGAAAGGTTTTTACGTCTACTGAAAACCAACGAAAAGTGTGCCCCTTTACATAAAAACCGTTAAAAATTTGTTTTATGTAATATTTCCCAATCATTTTCTGGTCTAAATGCCATGAGTGTATTTAAAAATATTTTCAAAATTACTATACGGTGGTGAATCAGTGTATTATTGTATACATTTTCAACATTTAGTTAGTTTTTATTGAAAACTATGCAAAATTGACTTGAATCCCTCTTCCCTGGGACCATAGACAATATACATTTATAATTTTTGTTATTCGCCCGATTGTTGAGCCGGAATATAGAGAATTTTCCCTTTTAAATTAAGCCGTTAGAACGTGCAATTTCAGATGGAAAAAAAAAGCCAATCCGTTTTGGCACAAAATTTTACAATTCGCGTTCGCGACAATGTTATAACATTTATAACAATTAATATTGTAAAAGAGATTCAGCAAAATATAAAATCGACTAGGTCTCGTCGTCGTTTATACTCGACGTCGAACTGTTGACCTTTTGTTTATGCATTCGATAAGAACGAGAAACCGTACACTCAAAGTGTAATGGTATATCTAGAAAAAAAACAGCCTAATTCAAGACGGTATTATCATTGTTTATTTGGAAAAAAAAAATATTACGTAGATAAACATTAGAAACAATGAGTGTTTTTTTTTTTTTTAATAGTAGGCAGGTACTCGAAGGGTATTATAATGCACGGTTTCCGTAAATTATTTTAGTATAATGCGATTGCGCATCGTGTCGTTTATGTACACCGACGCGGAATACAGGCACGGATACAGGGTGTGTGCAAAACTCCGTGCACATTTTTTTTTTTTTTCTGTAGATAAGAGATTCTGGACAAGCTGGTATTACAGGTGTGCGGGAAATAAGGGTGGACCGAGAGAACAGTCAAGCGCCCGTCACCCCATCACCGTCCCCGTCCCCCACGGGGCCGAACTCGAAAACGGGCCGGTTTTATATATTACACGGTGGATTTATGTACGTGTACGTTTTCACACAACAAACGTATTTGTTTTTTCACGACCGTTGACGCGACGACGCAACGGACCCTTTATTTTCGTGGTACCGCGAGACTTGCCCTCCCCCCCCTCTCCAAGCACCTCGACTTGTACCGGGCTTGTATACACGGAAATGGAATTAAACCTCTTGGCGCGCTTATGTGAATTTTGTTCACGGCGTGAAAGTTTCGCGAGTGACGTAACACGTCCCAAATCTAATAACACGATAATTATTGTAGTGTCCTCGTTCCACTCAGAATCCAAAAAAACCGTCGTTGGTTCGTTTTTTTAGAATCGAATTTATTTTCAGTGTCCGGGGGTAGGGGGAGGGGAGGGCGGAATTAAGGGCATTCGTTCCGGGCCCCATACGTGTTCGGGGACGCCAGCGATTTTAAAACCTAAACGATTTTCTAAAAGCGAAATAAAAATCTAATACATATTAATAGTGTATAATAAACGTATCGCGTGACAATTATTGATCGTTTTACGGACATATTTTAGTTCGTAATATTGTGTCACAACATAATACATTATGACGTATAGACTTTACATAGATAACAAAAATCACTCATTATTATTTTTATTATTTCAAACGGCCAAACATTAGTCAAATATTATGCATCCGAATGAAATTTAATTTGTATTCGGCCTTTACGGCTAATTGAACACAATAGACCCTACCCTAGGCGTTTTGAAGCGAGGGCCTTCAAATATTTGTACACGCCCCGGGCCTCCAAAAAGCCTTAACCCGGAAATGTTTGTTTTGCCGTCGTGTTGCCCAACCGTCTCATCTGAGATTGCGTATAACGAATCTACGAGTATACAGATGTACGTTTCTTTTTTTTCGGGAGCGAGAAGTTCACTTGGCGAAACAACGAAATCGGCGCGGCAAGCGACGCGGACGCATACGCAAAGATAAATTTGTCGAGTTTCGAGACGAATAGAATTTCCGATTACCTACACGCTATGAAATTTCACAACGCCGCGAATGAAATCCGAACCGTCCGCTCGTATCGTCGAACCCCCGGGAACGGACGAACGAATTTAGAGAAACACAAAAAAAAAAATTGTTTTTCAAAAACGTTACTCGATCGCCCAAGCCGCTGCATAATAATGTGTAATGATTTTGTAACAATAATAACAACGATAATTTTCACAGGCGTGTGTTATTATTATTATACAACATAATAATAATAATATTGTAATGCCATCGGGCGGCAGCGGCCCGTGAGCAAGGTCGCATTCGGGCCGTCCACCGTGCCCCGCCGATGACGCCGCGGCCACGATACCCGGTGCGTGCGCGTGCGCGTGCGCGAGCTAGCGAGTTAGCGAAGTGCCACCGCGGCGGTTTCGTAAGGTCGATCGAGCCGCGTGTGTACGGCGGCGGCGGCGGCGGCGGCGGTGTATAGGCATGTGATCGGATGACTCATCGCGCGGAGACCGCTCACCTCCGCCGCCATTCCACTACCTCGCGCCTGTCCGCGGCCGGCCGCCAACTATCGGGGAAACATCATCGATGTTCGCGCGCGCCGTGCACCTGTCCGCCGTCGTCGGCACCGGCGCGATTTCGGCGTTGGCCCGTCGCAATCGCGATCGCGCGGTAAAACCGCCGCCGACGCCGCCGAGTTTCAGGGTGGTTCGTAGGGGCGCCCCCGACGGTGCCCCGTTCGCCGTGCGCTCGATCGACCGGGGCCGGCCGCCCGGTGGGGGGGGGGCACACGCCGGGTCACAACAACAATCGACGGCGGCGGCGCGGCCACAATCGATTGTTGGCGCGCGGCCCATGCCCGTATTTACCGCTCGCTGTTATGCGCCGCGTTTCACTACACGATCGCCGCTCCGTCCGCGCGCCGAACACGCTCCACGACGAAACTCGCGTGCGCGACATCCACGGGCGTACTACGGCTCGTCTTTCGGCGTGTTTGTTTATTTTGTCGCGAATCGCGCGCGTGCGTGCGTGCGTGCCGCGTGTAGTGTGTGGTGCTCGCGTTTGTACGCCGGCCGCAACCGTGTACTCGACCCGCTAACTGCAACGTTACTCTCGTCTATTTTTCCCGACCGTCCGGCAGCCGATTGTCGCGCGCGACACGTGCCCCCGTTGTTATCGTTAAACGTCCGTTATCGCCAACCGTCTACGTCCCTACAACAACAACAACAACGACAACAACGACAATAACAATAATAATACTAACAGTTGTACCGTCCGGGTCGGTAATATTTTCGGATAATATTGTTGGCATTGTATTGTGTTCGCCGTCGTGTGTTATGGATACCGCGGACGATTGCCCGGAACGCGGACTGGCCATCAGCAGCAGCGCGAAAACGATTTGACGTCGTCGACGGACAGATGACCGGGGTAAGTGTCACCTCACCGGGTCGGACGACGGTTGTCCATGTCCATTATTCGATCGGTACAACATCGTCCGCGGCCGTGTAGCCCACACGTAACCGCCGCGGACCGCTGCCGCCGGCAACTGTTACAGGTGAGCGTCGCCGCCGACGTTCTCCGGGCGCGATCGCCGCGTACAATAACAACAATAATGTAATATCCGAGCGTAATTTTTTTTTTTTTCCCCCCCCGTCTTTCGTTTCGTTTCGTTTATTTTTTTTTTCGGTCAGACTTTCACCGCGAAATCGGCCGCCGAACGGGTGTCGCGTCCTCCGTTGGTTCATTTTAAATATTTCATTTTATTTTTTCCGTCCGTACTCGCGCGTCGCGTTCCTTTTTCACGGCGCTGCCGCCGGCCGATAGCGTACCGCCGGCGTGCACGTTTTGTTCGCGCGTTCATACACGCGAACCGAAAGACGGGAAAACCCGCGGAGTGGAAGTAAAGCGGCGCAATATTTATTCCCGGCTATTATTATCACGGTGGACGTTTCCACACGGTTTGTGCAACGTTCCCGGGGCGCGCATCGCCACGGAATACCGGCCGCCGTCGTTATCGGCCGATAATACAATAATACTGTTATCCGCCGCCGCCGCCGTACGTATCGATCTGTTATCGGCGGGCGCGCGCGTATCGGCCGCCCCCGGACGGCGTTCACCGCGGATTTCCAAAACGGTTTTTATTTTTATCCTCGCGCGTGTACCTCCGTCGTTCAAATGCCCATCGGCCTGGCACCGGTTCAACGTTCCGTCCACCGCGCGCCGACGTATGATCGCGGTCAACAGTCCTCGCCACTGTCGCGCGAGCGACCGTTTCGCGCGTTTCTCACCCGGGCGGGCGGCACTCGACGGAAAATACCGCGTACCCGAGACGATTTTAGCCCTGTCCCCGTCATCTCGGAAATGTCCGATCGGGGTGTGTTACCAAAGGCCCGCGTCCGAACGCATTTCGACAAACGGGCGCAAAACGATACTTTCGACAAACCCCCCCCCCCTCGAACGCGCCGTTAACGGAATTCGAACGCGGCGTTCCGTCCGCGTTCGACTCGAAAACCGACGAATACCGCGTCGCCGTCGGTACGATACCGTAATATTCTCGAATGTAATCTCCGATATCGGCTATCGAACGACGATTCGTTTACTTCACTCAACGTGCATGATAATATGCATCGTATTGTAATATGACTCACTGCACGTCATTTCGAGTGCGTGTGTGTGTGTGTGTGTGTAGGCGTTTTGAGCGGTCCTGATGGGAGTAGGTTTTCACGAAGGTATACGAGTTCGTCGTGTGACCTTTTTTTTTGTTCCGTTCGCAGCTATTAATGCGTCAATAGCTCTTCGCCGCGTTCGACTTTCGTTCCGCGTCTCCTTTTTGGAAAAACAAGCGAAGAAATGTGATTCGTTTTTCTACCTCAAAAGCGAAACGAGTTCCGCATTTACACCGGTGACGCAACAATGTACAGGGTGATCGACACGGACGCGTGACACTCGTTGTCTCGAAAACTATTATTGTTTTTTCTCCGTTTGTCTCGCGAAAAACCGAAAGGCTCTAAAATGTTGCGTTACGCGGTTTTATCGTTGTTGTTTACGGAAATCGGCGAATCGAACACCGTCATTTTTTCTTTAACTAAACCTCGATCCGTTTGGAAACAGACGAAACATGTTCCGAAATATAATGGTTACGAAAATAAAACGGTAACGTAAAATTCTGGAACGGCGTTTCGTTTTGTTTTTTTTTCGATTTTCTATAAAATAAATCCCGATTTAGGTTACGCGCTTACGTTATGTCGATCACTCCGTATGTAGGCGTAACTATATCGGGAAGGAGGGGGCCACAGATGGACTTAACCCAACTAGGTTTCTTCTGTGCAATCCGCGACCTCTCGGAAAACGATTTTGTTTCGTTTTAGATTCTGAGTGGAGCCAAGAAGCTTATGGTTTTACAAAGATGTTTATTTTTTTAATAACTATTACTTTTTTACCGGGAATCTTACTCCGATTTTTAAGAGTTTTCGCAGCAAATGTAAAAACCGGGAAAAAACACGGGAAAAACGTAGGGAAAACGAGAAAATCGTTTTTAAAGATATTTATGAATCCAGTATAGATAATATTGTACGACGTGTAATTATTCACTTAATTATTTTATTCCCGCCCCTGGATTTCGCCCTCGTTTACAGTCCGACCCCTTTAATAATTCCAACGCAATATATCAATAATGAAGAGCACGGGGTGAATAACCCCTGCAATTTCCGCTAGAAATCAAAAGCGAAACTGTTCGTCGAAATTAAAAAATAAATAACAACATTATAAACCGAAGACGTTAATTTGCATTTTTACGCTTAATTGAACGCAAATTTAAATTTTCAATATTACGGTTTTTTTTAATAAATTATTATGGGGGGAGGGGGAGAGCGAGTTCCTTCCTCTTAGGACACCGCCCTCGTTATAGTTGTATTTGCGTACGGCGAAAAAAACCATATTGTTTAGTAAATATTATATTTCGCAGCACATCTAAAATCGTATATTCGCGCCATCAGGTGACGTACGCATTTTAACGATTCGCTCATGTTACAGATTTTTATGATTTATCGAACAGATCATTGTCAGAATTTTCAAAAAAAAAAACAAGCAACACTATATTAGTAACTGTACGCGTGTAATACGCTAATCGCTTGTAATCTGCCGTTTTTAAACATTTTAATGTTCAGTTCGCGCGGTTATTCAACTTAATAATAAATTTAATTGCAATTTAATGGGTACGCGCGAAAAATGAGTCTAATAACATTATAGTTTGGGGAAAAAAAATGACGTACGCTCTAGTTTTATAAACATAAAAAAAACGTTACCTATAGGGAATTCGATAATATCGTTTTGGTAATTGTTTTATTCGATGTCGGGTTCACTATCGGCGTGTGTCTTTTTGCGCCAGTAACTTTTCTACCGGAAATCGTCAACTTTAACTTAAATTTTCTTTTTCATCTGACATATTGGGGAAGTTATTTTTCGAAGTTCTTTGTGGTTTTTTTTTTTAATAATCAAGACAACTTCTCGAGTCCAACTGCAGTGGCACATCCGTTAGCTGCAATTTCAGCTCGTTTTTCTGTTGTAATTCGGTTGAAAATAATTGCAAACAGTCGAAGTTTTTACCGAATACTTTTAATTGGAATTTCCAAGTTTTTCTACAATTTTGAAAATATTCTGCCGATATTTGGGCTATTTGATATTTTCGAGGTTTTTTTTTTTAGTTTTAATTTGGTTTTGTGCGGATAAAACTGTTTTGGTTTAGAAAAAATGCTAGAAAATGTAACGCGAGATTAATCGTAAGTTGTACTCAGTGGTCAAAAAAAAAAAAAAAAAGCGTAAGCGTAAGCGATAGTTTTTTATGAGCGTGTTTTAAGTTCAAACTTGCAAAATCCTTAAAAGCATTTCAAAACATGTTTCACCGAAATTCGTTCTGAATCGGCGTTTGATTGACCATTGATTGCGTTTATGCTGCAGATAAATTAAATTTCTCTAAAAATTCTACTATTCAAACTTTCCACTTTCAACGGTGGCACACCCGTCAACAGTGTCGGCTCTTAATTTTTTTGAAATTTGAAAATTTGTTTTATCACAAAACAAATGTGCATCACTTAACGTTTCGTTTGTCCCCCTCTCCCTCCGTATATCGAGACATATGAATTCGACCATTTATTTTTATAATAAAAATGTGACAACTTGGATTTTTCGGTTTCCTAACGGAGATTCAGTCGTTTCGGTGTTTTCGACCGTCGGATTAACAGTGGCTGGCGAGCGGATGACGCGTTGTCCCTTATCTAAATAATTTTCAAATTACAATAATGTACTTAGAGTCGATTAATGAATATGAATTTTTTCAGAATCTTGAAACGAATATTGTTCAATATATATACGCAGCGTTGATTGGTTTCAGAAAAATATATACTGTTGTGGGTACTGCAATACTTTCGATAATTATTTTGAAATTTCGAAAAAAATTCACGAATAACCGTGAAGCCTAAAATCGATATATATAAATCGTAATCGTGAAAATAGATAATAATAACGCGCTAAATTTAGAGAAATAAAACAAGAGGGATAAACTGTAAGACTTGAACAAAATCAGCGCCCCATTGTGACTATCGCATTTTACCCGACCCGGGGGGGGGGGTTAGCCAAATGCCGATTAACACCCGTGCCTTTGTAATTTTCAAAATATTATTTTCTCGTCACATACACTTACAGCAAGGTCCACGAGCCGCCGTTTTGCGTCCCGGACACGGGCACGCGTTTCTATAACGAGGATTTTTTTTAAATAATCGGTGTTTGGGACCAACAGCTATAATATATTGTAGGTAGACGTTGTATAAAATAATTTTCAACGTAGTAAAAGCGTAAAACATTCGTCATTCGTATTGCGCGGCGTGGATATCGGAGAATTTAAATATGACATTTTATTGACGACGTATTTTTCGGCGTTGAATACATTTACATAATTAACGATGGTTTTTTTTTTCTAGAATTTCTTCTTGTTTTCACGGACGATGTACATTATTCTAAAACGTGACGTGGAAAAAATAATTCCCCGAGTATAACGTATAAAATCCGGCGTTCTACAATTCTTGTTTATACTGGCACGCTGTATAATATAGTGGCACAACAGTTTCGAGTTTTAGTATAGCAGTTAACCACGTTAACAAACCTGCAGATTATTTCACGTTATTTTTCTGATTTGTTTTTATTTCAATAATAAAAGGGAATTAATTGACCGGGCACCGTCCGATTAAACAGTTTGAATTGTATTAATGAAAAAATTATATTTCGAAATTACACGGGGTGATTATTTTATCGTAATGTATAATAAGTAGGGATGAAAATAACTCTGCGTTGATTTTTAATATTTTAACTCAGTGAAAATCACTGTGTTAAAATGAAGCAGAATAAAGTATTCGACAATTATTGCGTAATGATTGAAATAAAATTTACTCAAAATGAGAAAGTTGATGAATCGCGGTATAATAATCTGCACATATAAGTGAAGTTTCGAATAAATATTATGTTTTAAAAAAAATTCGTCACTACAAATCGTATTTTAAAAAAAAGTGTGCATTTCACGTGATTTTTATGATTTCCTTTAAAATGTGTATAAAATAAACTACTACACTAAGGTATAACCGGTTTTTTTGTTTTTAACCGATAATAGTAAATCTATTACAACTTACAACTTATTTCAGATCGGCCAAAACAATTGTGTACGCATAAAACCGAATAAAAACTAAAAACCTCAAAAAATGTCAAATAACTATAATTATCTGGAAAATCGCCAGAATGGATCGACAACATCTAAATTCTAGAATGAGTCGATATAAGTAAATTGTGAAAACATCAGGTCTCTGCGATTATTTTTGACAGAATTACAAACAAAAAACAAACAATACAAAATCGATAATAATAAAATCGTTATTGCCGTAAATTGTTCCGGTATTTTCGTAATGATTTTGAAAACTGCCGGTGAAATCTAATTGTGAAATCCTCCACGGCACCAACTAGACGGAAGAGGTGCTACACTTGACAATCGGAGCATGATTTCCGGCAGAAAAATCGTTTACAGAATCTAAAAGTAATCGGGAAATTGAAAATTGAATAACCCTATTAATAATATTAAGTGTTACGTACGTTTGGCTAGCTCCCTCCCTCCTCTCCCCCCTTGTCGGAATTAAAATCAATCGACGAAGTCAATATTTAGCGCGGAATTCGCACGAATACTCCATCCGTTCCTGAAATATATCGTTTTCCAGGGGAAGGTAATATAGCTAAAACGTCCTATATACAAGGTTGGATATCCTACAACAGGGTTGCCGTGCACGTTAAAAAATCGAATTTATCAGGACTATGAAGTTTAATATAATACAGTATTGAATTGGGTATTTGGACAGTTATAATACACGATTTCAGAACAAAATTGCAATAAAAAAAAAAATTTTGCGATGACGGTTCGATACGTGGTTTTCGGTTTCCGATAAAGTTCTTAGTTTTACAACGTCTGGTGCTCAGTAATAAATTTTGTTCTTAGAAGACAGTAGGGGAAAAAACCGATTTAATAATTAAAATCGATTAATATACTTGCAATTTTCGGGATCGCTATTAGTTTTAAAATGACGCGTGCTTTTCGCGAGAAACCGGCAAATGTTTGAATATTTAATGATTAGAATCCTAAATGCCAGTCGGTCCTACGGTATTGAAACGGACGTATCTTCATATCTGATTTAATTTAAAACGTTCAGATCACACTGGACAATGAACGAAAATCGACAATAGTTTTAAATTACATTTATTTTAATCGTTATTGATACGAATTATAATTTTTATAAAAATATTCAAAACTTATTTTCCATCGTGTATTTGCTATAAGAAATTACTATTATTTTAAACTACTGTGTAATATTTTTTAAATTTTTTCAATATTTTAAATACAAATAATGTATGACGTATGTAAAACAATGAAAATAAAACAAATTTTAGAAATAATATATTAATATATAATTATGTTCGTATAGGAAATTATACGTAATTATTTTGGTATGCATATAGCATATTGTAATATTATTTGACGATTTTACATTTTGAAAAAATCGGACGGACCGTAAATTAAATTCGTACCGACGCGTTTATTTTTAAATTCTAAAAATCGTACAGATATATTTATTTATCGACTTTGACATTTTATATCGTTATGGTCAAAACACATCGATCTAAAAAGAAAAAATGCCCAGTGATATTGCTACATGCATAATACGGCTAGTGTACACCCAATCCAATACCGAACTGTATTTAACTAGTCTAATAAATGCGATTTGTCTATTGTACAACTCAACGAGGATAGGCGATGTTCCAGCTATAGTATTTCCCTCGCCTGAAAAACGGTACATCTCAGAACCGGATGGGGCTGGTGTTACGGAGTTTTTATATGCGAATTTCGTGCTAATTATTGACGTATTTTTAAAAAAAAAAAAAAAAAATTCCTATAGAGTAGGGGGGCTGACCAATCGTACGCGTGTAACTTTTTTCCTTACTGCGAAATGGTAAAAACCAACGTTTTTTTTCGTATTCCGTTTTTTAAAATAACTATACTTATGTAAATAGTATTTTATTTTTTCGAAAGCTTATTATTGTTCTGTACGTTTTGTCGGTTTGTAATATTTCGATTGCAATGCAAAGGACCCTTCGGTTGTCATAGTTATTGCCGTCCGAAACCGCGTGTAACATATACGATATAATTATATAACAGCTATCCTGTCTACTCATCCAATCAGTTAACCGAGTGTTTTTGATAATAAAGATAAAATAGCGATGCGGACCGATGAAATGCCGATTCGTTTTAATGTTAATATAATCTATGGCGAGTAGAAATAATTTAATACCGCCGGACTGAAGTTTCGCTCCTTCCAAAACGCTCGTATTCGAGTACTCGGTAACAACAGGTTTTTCTTTTTAATATAACACCTGTTATTGTAATTATCTGAAAGGTAAAACGAACATTATTATCGATTTAATTTTCGAAATATCATTGTGTCCAAAAACAAAATGTAATACACCTGCATCAAAGCCGTGCGTGTGCAATTATATGTTATATATAGGTAATATACCTATGACTAATGATGTAACAAAAAGACCGATACTGACGATGGGTGTGCCACTGTTTTAGGAAGACAGTCGGAAGGGAGTAGTTTAATTGCCGAAGAACAACCATTCTGAGCAGAGTATTATTAGTACTTAGCAGGTAGTGTTTTTTCCCTTATCGCCAAGGTGACCCAGAATGAAAACTATTTTATTACTTTTTTCTTAACGTTTCCTTGTACAAATTAAGTAGCCGTATATAATTATAACACTAATACATACGAGGCGTGCACCGTTTAATGACAGAAATAGTTTATTCAAAATTCTAAAATTTAAAAAATAACTAGGCAGGTACTTATTAAAAAAAAAAACAACATAGATTTAGACATTTAGTGTATAGTATAGATATTACTAGTGTAATATGTCACCTATTTGACCGCGACAAATTATTGTTCCGAAGGTAAATTTCGACGGTAGGTCACGTATTGAACCGCAACTTAATTTTTAATTATTTATCAATATAATTACTATATTACCGGCTAATTAAATTATATTTAGTAATTAGACTATAATTTTACTGGTACTTAGTGTAATATTGCGGTTTAAGCGTCGGCACTGTGGCGGTCAAACGATTTTGTCGTGCCCCCTCCCCTCTCCTACACGGATGACTCTGAATTTTTTCATATTTCAATAGTATTATTATTATTATTTACATTTATTTTTTTTTCGATAAATAAACAAACATTGCATCTAATATATTATTATAAATACCGATGAAGGGGGCAAAGTCGCCGGGGAATTATTCTCCTTACCTGCACCCCCTCCGGTTTTTGACCGTCCCTGGGCGAACTGCACACGTTTCATATTATACAGTCGTCGTCGTATATTTTAGGCGTACAATAATGTCTATAAATAACAAATATTATATTTTGTTTGAACTATTTTTGAAATGCTTGAGTCATCGAATTGCTCATCGTCACCATCAACAGCGCTCTCGGTACCTACCGTAGTTGTACTTATCTGTATTGTTTATTTTTAATATCGTTAATTGCGTGTTAAAAAAAAAAAAAAAAAATAAGTTTTGGAAAATAGATTAATTTATATTATTACTCATATATTCAATCCATATACTATTCTCATCCGTGTCCAAACAGTTCCGTAAAATAATAATTAAAAAAAAGAAGCGAATTCGCTATAATGAATCGTTAAATAAAAACGTGTCGATGTGCGCGTTTTAATCGCTGACGAATTTATTTATCATAATTATGAACTTAATAGGTAGTTAATAATAAATATAATTTTATTATTTTTACATTATTTCACTGTTATTTATTTAGAAGTCATTTGTAACGTATACGGTTTTATGCATTAGTTATATTTATATGTTGTTTTAACGCAGCAATGTACAATAAAATATCCACAGAAAACGTGTTACGTATAACGACGATAATTTTATTTTAAACTATCTGCACACTTATGTAATTCCGGTTTTATCATTCATTTTTTTTTTTTTGTACCTACGCACGTTGTGAATAATTATTGTAGTTATCATGTAGGTACAATAACAAAAAAAAAAAATAAAAATGTATTAAAAATCCGTTGGTATTTCAATAATCTGTATTAATATTATGTCAAATCGTAATCAATTAACGGTTGTCCAGGTATTTCAAGATTGAGTGAAGCGGAAAACGTATCGTTTTTACAAATCTATTTTTTTTTTTTTTTTTTTTAGATTTTAAGCTAAGTGGTGAGGAATGTATTGGTTTTACTTTAATGTGTGGAAACAAATTCTCTACCTGAAATTTTGTTCTAATCAAAAATGTATAGGAATTTTCTTGTAGCGTTTTTTTTTTTTTCTTTATGTCCGTGACTATTTTATGGGTTAGTAAAAGTGCTCCAAAAACGTTTGTATACCTTTAAAAATACGCGATGATGGGTTCCCTAGATTCTAAAGTTATTCTGGGAAATTTGAGTAAAAAAAAAAAATAATTTTAAATATTCTGCTGATTTGGCATTTCGGAAAACACGGAAATCTGACAATATCTCGAAGACACGTTTACATTTTAAAAACAGTCGAACGAATTTTACTCAAAAGTTCTTTTCCAATAATTTATTGGTTTTTGTATATTTGTATGGTATTTTTCGTATAAAATGTTTATAATGTATATGCGTTTCAGTGTGCCATCTGAACAGAACTCATCTGCACCACCGTTGCCCCATGTCAGCCGTTTGTTACGAGGGCGGAATGGGCGGCAGATCTCGAGCCGGTCTTAGACTCAGCCTGAACAGGAGCATCAGTGAGCCGGGCCCGGCGACACCGCCGTCATTGCAATCGCTTACCGTGGTTACCACGCCAACCAACTCGAAACGGTTTCGATTGGAACCTTTGCCTGGCCTGTCGGCCAGCCTACCCGCCAGCCTGCCCGTGAGCCCGAATACCGACAGTACTGATTTAAGTAGCACTCTCGTGCTCAAAAAGGTATGCAGTACATAAAGTGATATTATTATACCCATAATAAGTACCGTTGAAAAATATACAGGTGATCAACATAACGTAAGATACTCATTATCTCGGAAAGTATTAACTTATTTAACCGAATTCGTTTAATCGTTACTAATTGCTTCAATTTTATTAAAACGTGAATTCCGAAAGAAATTAATACTTTTCAATATAATGAGTCTTTTACATTATGTTGAACACTCTGTATGTATATGTGTATGTATAATGTATGTACGGTATGAATTATATGCAGAATGATGAACACTCGATAAGACATTCATTATCGAGAAAAGTAATAACTTTTTTTCCTGGCAGTTTAAGAAACAAGCATCTCTAAAATGTTACATTGCTGTTATTTTTTGTCACAATTATTTTTGAAGGTGAAAGTACTATCCACTTTTGAATTTCAGTTAAAAATATAAATTAAATATTCCATAAAAAAATGAAGTTTTAGTTTGGATACACATTGGCGCTAACGTCTTTGAGTTTCGTCAATCCGTTGACGAGATATTCCACTTTTATGTTTTGATCTTAACTTCCGAAAATAAAGGCGACACAAATTAACGGTAATGTAACGTTTTAAAGCTGCTTGTTTATAAAAATAATTGTTCACGACAACAAATTTCGAAAAAAAGTTAATACTTTCCGCGAGTGATAATAAGCGTCTTATCGATGATCGGTCACTCTTTAATCTGTATAGGTTCCTTCCATCGTTCGATAATTGTTTTTATCAAGTAAAATATTATCGACCATAAAAAAAAAAAAAAAAAAAAACAACTGACTCACCGTGATGAATATTATGATTTAACAGCATATTTATAAATGTATATAATAAAACTTGATAATATCGTTATATTACATGTATATATAGGTTAGGTGCATTATCAATATAATAATATACGTATATTACAACCCAATCACTATTAAATATTGCAACCTTTTGACGTTATGTACATATACAACGTCAAAAGGTTATAGGTATATAGTATAAGTACATTTTGCTTTCTGTGCGTTAAATACTTACACATCGGACAAATATGGCACGTAATTCATTTTATGTAATAAGAATATTGAGAAAATTATTTTTAAAAATGAACGCATTCCCGAGTATAAAAAAAAGTAATGCATTCACATAATGAATTATGAATATACCGCATTCATATTAGGTATAATGTACGTCATGTATGTTTTTCCTACTAAAAATTAAAAAAAAAAAAAAAATCTACATACATTTTCACTATTATTTAATAATTTTTTTTGGAAATTCTTTCGTTTGAATTTATATATTTCGACGTAAAACCGATGAAGTTCACGTTCATAATTCATAACAAAAATGACAGTAATTTATTGCATTCATAAACGAATTCCTCGTATGAAGACGTAAATTCAATGAATTCATTAATTTTCCAAAACACCGGTAGGTATATAATTCCATTGTTATTCTTTATTATTATTATCGTAAATCATAGTAATATATAGGAAAATAAACAGTATTTTCTTTCCCGCAGGTCAAACGAATAGACGCTGACACGTATAAACAGAAATTGGAGATGTACGGATCCGCGGTTTTGTCCATCGACTGCCGGTCGTTCGTGTCCTACAACGTGAGCCACGTGCTGGGCGCCGTCAACGTGAACGCTTCCGACCGGATCAACAGGCGGAGACTGCAAACACGGAGGGCCACCCTGGTGGACTTGACGTATTCCAGGAGCTCCAAAGAAGCGCTGAAACTTCGGGGTTACCGGGATATAGTGGTGTACGACGATTCCACTGTCGATTTGGATAGAGTACCGTCCAATCATCCGTTGGTATTGATCCTCACGGCTTTGGTGGACGACGAACGAGAACCTTCGTTTCTTATCGGTAAGTCTTACTATAACGCATATTTTGTAAAGTCATTCGAAAAATACACTTTTTTTTAAAATTGGCCCATATGACAACAATATCAATACTTGTTATGTAATAAAATACTTATTATACTTCAGAGGTTGGCTATGGCAATTGAATGCGAAGCAAACAGAAGGGCAAATTTCAATATTTGCAGTCAGAATTTAAAAAAAAAACCTCATGCAGTGAAAGTGCAATATATCGGCGTTATTATGCATTAATGAAATCTTATCATTAATGCCTAATAAATCAAAAATTCATGTTAGCGTATAAAAATCTTAAAAATACAATTTTGGATCCGAAAACTCCAATAATGCTTTAAAATGAGCGGACAAAATGACTTCAAAATCAAAAATTGTATACAATCTAAAATAATATTACATATTATCATTTAAAAGCACATGGAACGAATCTGTAACAATACACATATCGCACAGCAAGCTTTTAAAAACATTGTAATGTGTATTGAAATTTCAGTCCTAATGATAAATGATAATACTATTTTAAACATGCATTTTTGAATGTTATCAGAAACATTAAAATATTTTTTTTTTGTGCTCATATTGATTTTTGCCCTTCTGATTACTTTTGATTATTGTATTCAAATAAGTCTATTATATTAATTGATCTCTTTAAATGATTATGCTATACTTGCGTATAAGTATCTAGGATGTATTAACGACGATACTTGTAGCAATGACTACAGCTAGTGGTTTAAGTATAAATTTGATTGCTTCTTCTTCTTGAATCGATAAATTTTAATTTAAAAAAAAAAAAAATTGTATACAAATTGCCTATACGCGACCCCTTTACATTACTGATACTGTTCAACGAAGGCGCTGTTCGAAGATAATACTATACAATGCATAGTATAATACTTATTTTATGTGTGTGTAATAACTAATAATACACAAATAATAATAATGGGTAGTCATCGATCAATGGATTAATATAATGATTGAAATTCGTACACATATGATTAGAAAAACACCCACGAGCGGCAGAGCACCATCACTAAAGTTGAATTTTTTCCATAGCAGACTCGTTGACGTTACAATACTTATTTTTTTTTTTTAAATTTATCTTATGTAATTACGATTGTCAGAATTTATTATTTTGTTTACAATTTTGTTTTGGTTTTGACCACATATACTCCCTCATTCCGCTATTTAATATTAACCTTAAATATAACCTATTTAATATTAAACCAAGATAATAAAATTATTGTATATAAAATATTTTTGGGATGTATGCCAGTATCACTTGCTCGTGCTGCACCTTGGATAATTCTAAAAGAACTAGGACGTATTTGGGCTACATTGAAAATATGGTATTTTTTCTTAGGACGCACTCTGGTGATATCTTAGTCCTCACGCGCTCAGGACATTGAAAAAGGATCATTTAAGGACGCACTCGGATAACTCCGGAATTTTCCCATTTAAAATACACATATTTTTACAGTGTTATAAATTTGAATTTATCCCTGCGCTCAGTGTATCCGAAATAATCCTAAACTGGTAGGAATGGACTAACAATTCTACTACATTTCTTCGAAGAAAAAATAAATATATTTTAGTGGTACCTAGTCATAGTAGTGTAGTAGTAGTTGTTAGCCAATTTCTACCAGTTTAGAATTTCTTCGGGTATACTGGGCATAGGGATAAATTCAATTTTTAATAATTAAACATCGTAAAAATATGTGTTTTTATTGTGCATTCGTATTATGCGTTATAAATGGGAAAATTCAACTCCCACGTGACGTCAACTAGCGTCTAAATGAAAATCTGAACAAATTATAAGATTTGTTTTCAATTATTTTCTTTTAGGAACTCAATTCGAAAATAAATCACGCCTTAATATACTTACCACCGTCGGTTTTCCGTTTAGAGTTATCAGGAATTTTATTTTTTATCGTTGCCACGGGAATTAAATTAATGCTTACCGGAATTAAAATTATAACATTATTACATAACAGCGTGTAGATAACAAGAGATAATATGATACACTCAATAACGAATACATAAATATAGGTGTGCTTATTTGTTTAATAAACCGACCCATAACTAGTTGTATACAATAATAACCTTACTATGTAATTGGTTAATAATTTGTTTTACTATTGTTGTTCGGTCCCTATTACTAGAATCGTCTGCGAAATCGGCTGACGAAAAGTTGCAATATATTTGTGTTCTCATTAGTAATTAATCGTATACACTGCATATAGTATATATTATTTAATCAAGATATATTTTCACCGAACGAGTCCAATTATTTAAAATTGTTATTTCAAGCCGAACTAATCGGATCTATCGGCTACATATTTTTTATGGGCACATCGGGTACCTTTAGTAATTATGTAACATACTATATATATATATATAAAAAAATAAAAAACCGAACGAAACGTGTCCAAGTCCATATTATAATATGTTAAGCCGAACTAAGTGATTGTCAAAATTATTTGTGGGGGGGACTGACATTTTTCATAGGCGAAATAGATATAGATTATAGATGTGTCCTCCCCTCAAAAACATACTACGGCTACGGCGTATATATAACGCTGCAAATTTCCAACTGCCCAACGCCTAATATTCAATGTTCTTCTCTATCGTTTATAAGTAATATGAATATGCCCGAGGCGAAAATATAAGTACGTAAATACGACAGCATTTGTCGCGGTAGTATTTTTAGGAAAGATTAAGTAGCGGCTAACAATTTTATAAAAATTTTCGGTATAGTTTTGGCGCGTGTAAAATCTACTTAAATAAAATTGTCACAATCGTAAATTATTATAATATTTGCGGTTTACACATTATACTGTAAATAATTACTGACGTACGTAATAATTATAATATTTCTAAAAATACTACAAAAATATTTAATTGTCATTGCTCGGCAAAGAGACTATGTATGATAATATTGTTAATGTTCGTTTTTCGACAAAGGACCTATTTTATTCTTGTCGATAATTGTATTATATATTATATTTTTAGGCAAACATCGCATCTACATAATAGGTATTATGTACCTACATAATAATGTTTTAGATGAGTCAAAATTCTATATAAAAGGTAAATCGACCGTTTTAATTTTACACGATAATGTTGTTTGATATTATTGTTTATTTCAAGATTGTGTGTATTGTTCAGTAGAAAAAAGAAGTCTCATATTATTTATTAGCTGCAAATATTATATCTGTACACCGTAGTGAATCATATACGAAAGAAGTCATAATTCAATATTTAACAATAAAATAAAGTATTTAGTTTTGTATTACTCATAGATAATATCGGGTAGGTCTGACGTCTCGATTTTTGATTTGTCACGTAATACGCAAAGTTAAACCTACGTCTATTAATTCAATTTTCAAATAAAGTCTGAATATATCTGTGTACGGTCTTTTTCCTGTTCTGGTGTTACAATAATGGTAGACAGGAAGTATAATATTATATAGAATGATCAATCTATCGTTAGACACTCATTATCTCGGAAAGTATTAACTTTTTTCGGAATTTGTTTTTATAGAATTTTGAATTGAAAAAACAAGCAGGCCCTACAATTTTATATTTTTTTTTATCTTTATTTTCGGGGGTAAAATTACTACTTATATGTGATTTTCAAATAACAACCTGTGTTCAATATTCCACAAATAGGCGGCATATTAGTTAAAATTAATGTTGGTGTTGAAATGTTTGATTTCCGTCATTTCGTTTACGAGATGTTCCGTTTTTAAGTTTTGGCTGGGGTATAGTATTGGTGCATTATTAAAACGTCACACGCAGTTTAACTAATACTCCATTTATTTATGCAATTTTTAATGTAGATTGCCATTTGAAAATCAAAAGTAGGCAGTGGTTTTACCCTCGGAATAAAGATGTCAAAAAAATCATTAATGTACAATATTATAGAGCTGTTTGTTTTTTAAATGTTCTGTGAAACAAACTCTGAAAAAAGTTAGTTACTTTCCTAACTGACTCGAAAAATTACAAATTACTCGAGTGATATACATTTTTAGTTTTCGATCTCATCGGCTTTATTTTATTCACGTCGGTAGGTTTTGTTTTCACGTATAAAACCCACGGGTAAAAAAACGCTAGACAAAAATATTATTTATGTCATTTAACGCCGAAATCGTAATTTTTTACGTTTTTTTTTCTTTTATAATCATCGATGTGTTTTAAAATCGTGATATTTTTTGGTTTCAAAAAAAAAAAAATTAAATTTTTTTTAAACCGTTGGTTTTTGCGCTTCTCTCGGGATAGCAATACAATAACATTATCATACGATTAATTATAATTTGAGAATATACATCATCATGACTTCCTCATTTTAATTGTAACGTATATAACACTTTTGATAGTGTGATGAAATTTACCATGTACGGCCCTCTCTGACATCATCGACGCATTTCTCAAAATCGTCTAGAATTTAAAAAAAAAAAAAACGGTTAATATTTTAATATGATATTCGTTCGTCGAATTGTCATTTTGTAATTATAATTTTTATTAATGATATTAAAAACAAATTTCTTATTAAACAAAAGATTGTACAATTGTGCAATTATTAAATGCGAGATGTCATAATATAAAATTAAAATATTTAGGTGAATTGCACTATAATATCTACGGTGTATAATATTATGACTTATATGTTCAATCTCTATTTTGGAGTGGGAGGAATAGTGAAACAGATATCTACTTTTGATTTTCAAATTCTTAACAATTGTTAACAATTTTACAAGTGGATTAGGTTTTAGTTTTAAGCACACATTTTGGTGTTGACGTTTTTAATTTTCGTCGATCCGTTGAAGAGATAGTCCACTTGTAAGTTCGGGAAGAGCACAATTAATGATGTTCCATTACTTTAATAAAAGCAATACTTTAAAGCGAAATATCTCGTCAGTGGATTGACATAAATAAAAAATTTGGTTGTAACTTGAAATTTGGAAGACATCCTGTATACTCGCAGCCCTTGGCGCGCATCCTTTACGCATCATAAATAAAAAAAAAAAACATGTCAGTAAAATAATTGTGCTAACCATCACATAGATATACGTGTATTATTGTTGCCAACTGTATATATGATTATTTTTAGAGGTTTTTTTGACTATTATTAAAAGTCCAACGTTTTTATTTACCAAAATAATATACGAACATTATTATGATATCTTTGATCCTGGGAACGAAGGTCTTTGTCGATTTTGTATAGTTTCCAATACAAGCGAGTTTATTGCACTTTGAAAGTTGCTGTATGACATAATGACATAATATTGCTAACTGGCCTAACCTGAATATGGCGTTATAGATGGCTTAAATCGTGTAATTATACAACTAACATTGCGAAATAATAAGTACATCGTATTGACTTCGGACGTTTTAATTGTCCGTATAACATAATATGTGGATAAACAGGCCCGAGTCTCACGGGCCCTGGACGGCACCACATTTTGAATCAAACCGAACAAAAATTTTAATAACGACGAAAAATGAATTGAAAACAATTTACATATAATATTTTTAACATAATATAAAATTGAATTTTCAATAATTTACTTCTCTTAGGGTTTTGGGGAGGGGGAAGAGAGGGCGGAACTTGTGCTAAAACCGACCCTGAAGATATATATATACATTATGTAGTTTGGACCAACGAATAAAGGCAACAAAATTTTACAAGACAAAATTAAAAAAAAAAAAAAAAAAAAAAAAAAAAAAAAAAAAACCAACAATTGATTTAAGCCCCGCATATTCCGCACACTGACTGTAGAAACAATTCGTTATTCGAAAACGCATTATTTATTAGTATTTATTAGTTATCGCAGCTGTTTATTTTATTAAATCTTTTCTCTGTACTTATGATATTATAATATCATACCGCATTGCACTAATATCGAACTTGTAATTATTATTATTTTTTTTTTTTATTGACCCCTGGCCCGGCCAGACGTACGATGACGTCATAATATAAAATATTATTATACCTATAATAGTCAAGGATCAACATTATGGACTTGAATGGATCATTATATATATATATTTTGTTTAATATTATTCAATTTACACAATCTGTATAATTTAATATAGATCACTATCGCGGTACCTATCTAATACGAATATAATATTACACATTATGTAGGCCATGCGTACAGAAACTCTTAGAAACTCTTTGGATTTATATAAAACTCCGTCTGACCCGAAACATTGATTTACGGGGCCAGGAACGTCTTCTAGTCGATTTCTCCTGAAATTCTTGGGGGTGGAGGGAAGATGATATTAGATTATTTTATATGACAATTTTTTCTCTCGAAATTATGACTTAAGAATAATTGTCGATAATAAATATTTTTGTGAGATAAAAATGTAAAATCTACATTCTATGGCTCACAAGGAAGCCTCCCCCTTTATCAAGGACGTGCTAGACTCGGGTCGCTATGAAAATCGGACGAAATCGTATAAAACGGTGTACAATATTTTAAAATGATTCAAAACGAATATCGATCGAATGAAAAATTATTGGATTACTTCCAAAAATAAAGGTGACAAAAAATAATATAAATATAAAACTGCAGAGCAGTTTGTTTCTAGGAAAAAGTTAATACTTTCCGAGAGTATATTCACTTAAAAGGATCACCTTGTATGCGATACACATACCATATTATAACAATAATGTTGGTTCGTATATTTTACCAAATTAATCTTCATTTATAAATTTGGACGTGATATTATAAAATTAGTCATGTCATGGAACACAGACCATTCGACAAGTGCGACTTTGTGACGGCACATAGGTAATGACATTTTGTTGATATTTGTTTAAAAGAAAACGAAAACCACAATCGTTTATAATTAATTATTATCCGTTTAATAGGTATGTTAAAGAATAATAATGTAAATTATAGTGTATTTTGTATTTATTTTGCTCAGAATATTTCGATCGAAGTGAAATTTAAAATAAAAAGATTTCCACGATGGGTGGGCCACTGTTGTAGGTGAGAATTTAGAAAAGATTAAGATATAACGGGGAATTTAATGTGTATCTGTACGCAAAGATTAATCTTTGCTAATGAAAAACGATTTTTAGTGCAATTGGATTTTACATGTTTTAAAAGGTCGTAATGTTTACGATTTAAAAATAGTTCAATTTGTACATTTTCCCGTCTTTCCTTAGTTTTTCTCATTTATTATAATAAACCCCTGAAAAAATCAAAAAATGGTTTCCCAAAAGTACAACCCCAGTAAGATTTCCTTTCTGAAAAAGCGTTATAATTGAAAATCGGAGCAAAATTGCTGGCTGAAAAATTGTAAACGCGAAATCGAAACATTTCAAATATATTATTACCCACTATACGTTTTACTTAATAATTTTTGTCTAAAGGAGAATTCTTAACACGTCATGTTGTACGAGCAACTTTTTTCTGTTTGACTCATCTTGTCACGGTAGATACATTTTAAATGTATCTTTTCCAAGACGTTACCGGTAGTTGAATAATGTATTCCACTCATGACCAGCACGGTCGTTGCGTGTACCTCTACTGTGCGACTAGTGTTGGATGAATCGTACATCGATTATTTCATACTATAATTTTACCACAAAAAGCTATAATCCAACAAATTCAATTTCACACCACACCACACGAAACGACACGCAACGACGAGTTGTAAATCTCATTTAATTATTCTGCCTATAAAAGACGCTTCTGATGAAAATGCGTAGTCTTTTCTTTGGGATAGAATTAAAATTAATTTTTTTTTTCATGTTCGAATTTTAAAAACAAACCAATAAGTAATTAATACAATGTGATTTTAAATATCCGCAGTTTGGGATGCACCGGTCTAGTAAATATTTTGTTAAAATTTCGGCTCGTCCGAAAAACACACAGAGTTTAAAACAAACGCGAACGGTATAATTCGCAAAGTGATAATATTTGTGCGCCGGATTTCCGCATTATTTGTTGAATATTTCCTTAAGATTTCACCGCAGACCGATTTCCTAAAGATCGACTAACGATATTACGCATGGAGGAAAAACAAATACGATCGAACCAAAAATATAGATATAATATTATGTTGAAATTATCGTTATTGCCAAATGAAAAATATATTTGTTTTCAGCACACATTGAGTCACATATATTGAGTCAATATATGTATATACGATTATTGACAGAGGCGTATTTGTTTGGTAATTCAATCTTGCAATATTATACTCGCAGCCGGGTTAAAAGGAAAAGCTGGAGTTTTCGAACGAAACTGCGCTTTTTTTCGAAACCGGCTTTTAAATGTACGCTTTTCCGGTTTTCGCGTCCAGGAGAAGTTACGTAGGTTATAAGATTTATTCGCGATTTTGATTCATCCTATATCCGCGGTGCGTTTAAAACGTGACTGGCAAGGCGAACCGGTGAATTTATTGACACACTGCGAGTCTGACACCGACGATGTCAGTAAATTATTGTACGCAATCGCTGCGGAATTCGATATTTCGTAATATTTTTTAAGTATACGCGCGGGGTTCATTTCGAAAAGTCACGTGACGAAAAGGCAGCTGCAGCAGCAGCAGCTATCCGGTGAGACCGAACATCGCATCCCTTCCATTATACCGGAGTAGGGTACACGTGCACATGTGTACACGTCAGACATTGCGACGCATATAATAATAACTCGGCGCGGTAATATGCTTAAAGGAATTCCGCGGTCCGATGTCGTGCCCCGAGATGTTGCGTAGTCCCTGTACATCCTGTACGCCGTACAGACACGTCAGTTACGTTATACAGGGTGATCAATCCTGGATACGCAAGACAATCGTTATCTCGGAAATTATATTAACGGTTTTGTTTTTGTTTTTTTTTTTTATTTTTTTCCTCGGAAAGTTTAAGGAATAAACGTCTATAAACGTTTTACGTTTTACGTTCCACTTCATATTATATTTACAGAATTTTAATATTATTGGTTTCTCTTAGAAAATCAAAAGCGGCTAACGGTTTCGCCGCCAAAAATAAGAGTGACATAAAGTAACGGAAATATAATATTAGAGCTGCTAATTTCAAAAATTGCCAAACAAGAAAAATCTGAAATACTTTCCGAGATAATGAGCGTCTTGTCAAGGATCGATCACTCTGTATAACAGCTTATATTATGTTAGATCAGCTGCCCTGTAATACTTAACGCGCGTTCAAATCGGAGGGGTGTAAGGACAAAGACGCATAGGTATACGCGTCTCCAGATGTGCATCGCATACCGCTTGTTTCTAAACCATTTTGCAGTCTGCAGCCGCGTACAAGATAAGGCGCGTAGTGGCCCCTCATTTTGTACCGAAAAACAGAGCCTACTATTTTATTTTTTACAGCACCCGAGTACAACCACACATATGATCTACGAAATTTCCGAGCATTTTTACGTAGGTAACCAAAAAAGTTTTTTCCACGTGAACGAACGAGTATACAATAGTATGATGCGCAAAATGTCCGTTATTTTTACAAATTGTATCGTGATTTGATATGTTAAAAGCTTATAAAAAAAATATCTTTACTATAGATGTTTTTGACATTTTAATTTTATCATAAGAGTAACTTATGCGGACGGTTACATTTTTATTCGCATAAAACCAAACGAAAACTCTGAAATTTCAAATACACTCAAATAACTAAAAAAAATTGTACAATATATTGAAAATCGTAGCAAGTATACCTACACGGAGAAAGGTCCACTCGAAATTTCCCAGAGAGTCATCAGTACGTGACTGTACAATGTTTTATAAAAACGTATAGGTACGCTAGAAATCATTAAAATGCGATATTGTAGTAGTATCGAAAAGTTGTTTACAAATTTCAGAAAAATATATCAAAAACGACAGTATTATCTCTGTAGGCAATTATGGTGCTTGTCTTAAAAATATCTCCTATAAAGCGACTTTGTCGTCATACGTAATAGTAAGAAAATGTGTCTTAAAACGGAAATGTATTATAAAAATAAAAAATGCGATTATATTCGTCTTATGTTTTCATAAATAATTATCTATAACATTGTACAAATGCCGTTTTTCAAATATACATAAAGGGCGTATCCTATTATTCGCTAACGCACAGCATATTCGATACTCGAGTATTGTATTCTATAAAAAAAAAATTCTAAAATTTTTCAGAAGCTTTTCCACGTCTGTCGTTATCTTTGTATAAAGATATTTATGTATGTTATATACAATTGAAATGTCTGTCCAACTGTATTTCTGGGATAATTTCAGAAATGGCGTGTTTCGATTTGGAATGGGAAAAATGGACTATTATAATAGTAATAGAATACCTACTTAAAAATATTAATCTCAAAAAAGGTTCCGGCAGATTTATTATAATATATTGAATAACGCCATCGCGGACGCGCCGAGGGGAAATTATGAGCACGAAAAAAAAAAAAAAAGGAAAAAAAGACCCTAGTTTAATACTAGGTACATATATATATAAATGTACGGTGGGGGGGGCGTAGATTTCTTTTAAACGTGATGGGGTTTCCTTTAGTGCTTATTCGCCGCCATCGTGCGTTTCGAAATTCCCGCGCGAAACAATATATTATAAACAATAGTTATATCCGTGCCCATAACCAGCAGCAACCCTTCTGATTTCTTACAAGTGTTGTGTTCACCGAGTATGACGTGTCGTCGAGTGATGTTTGCGAAGGGTACACGTTGCATCGCATTGTTATTACTCATATAATAATAATAACGTGCAAGTACTCGCCGCTCGTACATTATAATATGACGGTACCTACTATAAACTATAAATATGAGTAAGCTAAAACCGAAAATCACACAGGTTCGGACTTTAAGCTCAAAATAAATGTATGTAACGACGAAAAATTGTATCTATTGATGGCAGTTTTGCATCGTCCATAGCTTAAATCGCATATAAAAAACGCATTTCGGATTTTTTCGTTGTACAGATAATCCTTTTCCCGGTTTTTTTTTTGATTTTCTGATAAATGCGATTTTTGTTTATAGCCTACTCATTATATCGAAATACACTAATCCAGATGATAAGAAAACAAAAAAACGACCGGAAAATCGGTATCCGGGTAAGTATAACAATTTTGAACCATGAAAATCTCGTCTACACACCAAAACTGAATACTGATAATGCTCTCACGAAGTTAATGTTTTGTGGTTGAAAAACCACTTCGGGCGTTGTGGTAAAAGGCTAATCCACGTCGGGTAGGTTCAGGCACGTACTCAGAAAAAATTCGGGGAGGGGCGTGAATTCCACAGGACGTTCACAAGTATACAAAAAAAATAAATATTATTTTGAACCATTGAACTAGTATGAATTTTGTTTTTCAAATTTTGGGGGTACCTCTACTACCTCCTCAGTATACGTACTTGGATATAACATTTTGAAAAAAAAAAAAAAATTCGCAAATTATGCTATAGTTAGGTATATTTTCTGATCATCCGGGGCAGAACTGAAAAGTAATATTGACCCACTCGTTTGCTGATTTTCATCAAGAACACGTCAATTGAGACTATAATTATTTTATACTTCATACTTGCATGGCGTAGTAATTATCAGCCACGTAATACTGCACAGAAGCACCGCGTTGCTGAATCATTTAATTGGATCGGACGTATAAATTGCTTGGTTGTTGCGGATATTATTTAATTACAATAGTTTTAATGCGATTTTATAATATGTATACAGTATGAGTATATGTACGTACATATATAGCGGTTCATAGCTCCGTCACTATAGTATCGAATTTTCCCCGGCCTTTTGTTTCTATTATGGAAATATATTTTTTTTTTAAAACAATAAATAACCGAATATTATATAATAATACGCATTATACCTACTTTACTACTTTAAAATAAAAAAATAGTGACATTTGAGCATACGACTGGTAGGGATAGCGTTTAATCGAATTATGATTTAAATAAATAATTTTAATTTTAATAAAATAAGGGAACCCGGGCGACGGTGTGCAAAAACGACGGGGCTAATAAAATAAACGTATAAACACGATACAGTGCACGGTAGTCTCAGTTTTCGGGGAAAATTCGATAAAAATCAATTCGTTTATTATATGTTACGGTAACGGTTATTCGTTTATAGTACGATGATATTCATACGCGTATCGACGGAAAAAAAAAAAAATCAACCCGTTTCACGGATATATATGTATACGTATGAACATGTTGAGTACATGGTTCAGATTTATAAATTATTCATCGTGGCTTTTATATAAAACTTAAAACATCTGGTTAGTTTTATATAATAATCCGACGAGGGTTGCCTTTGCAGTTTTCGCGGTGTGTGTCCCTAATTGAAAAATCCCTGTGGATTATAGTATGTATACGCGAGTATACGCTCGCGTGCACTGCAACGATGACTAACTATATGTATACGGTATCCCTTTTTCTTTTTTTTCACCCTTAACCGTATACAGTGTGGTAAAACTAGTATACACATAACGTGCAGTACATATATATATATATATATAAATATAAATATACATCGTCTAAATCTATATAGTATCAATAATAAGGCCAATTTGTACAATCGTTCGAAACGTGATTGTACATAATATCTAATAATATTTAGGGTTCGGATTTTAACGTATTCACACATTTAAAACCAAAAAGTGTGTAGACGAATTTGTGCTGAAAATCTCAAAATATGACTACGTATAATTATACTAGAAATAATATTTTCGTAATAATATTACGAATGATGAATACGGTAGTTGAAGGGCTGCGGGGTAAAACGATCATAATTTCCAAAATTGTCACACCGATCGCTTCCCCCCTCCCCTCCCGTTTCCGTTCGGACTTTGTTTTGTTTCGAAGATTTATCGATGTATTTTTTTAGACTCCGCTGTAGCCCGGATCACGGTTTTTCTGTCTTCGATTTCACGATCGCTGCACTATCGTTTTTTCATTATTAAATAAGTAAAGACATCTAAAAAATGAACCAATCATATTGTTTCGTATCGTATCAATCGTAATGAAAATTATGTACTAATGACGTAGTTTCCAGAACGCCAACTGTAGGAAAGGTGTTGAATTGAATTCACGCGCTATTCGCGAATAATTAACTTCTAATTAGATGTATTTAATACACAATTTATTGTTCACAAATATCTACCAAACACTATTTACTCAAATGCACATCATATATTAATTTGGTTTTTATAGACACGCGTTCTGCAGCTATAAAAACACGTTAAAAAATTATATAAATATATAAATATATATATATATTTGAAATCTGAAAAATGGTGACCTACAGAACAAATTAGAACAACGGTCTATTCTAAATTCTAGACACGTAGGCTATCGCGTTTATCCAGATTTAGAAAAACAAAATTTTCGGATGTGTGCAGATAAGTAGTTACGATCAGTGAAATTCGTTCATGTATAATAGTTTTGACAGCGAACACAAAGTTTTTGTCTATACTAATGTGAAATAAACCGTTTTTTTCACGTATTACAAAAACAATGATAATTTGATATACTATGCAGAAATCATATAGACTATTTACGCATTTGTATAGAATTGTTTTGAAATTCTAAATTAGTATAAATACTATTATTGTTAGTCATAATTACTTGTCATCTAAAGTAATTATCAATTAGTAAACTTGATAAATTTATTATATATATGGAGTTTCCGTAAAATATAATAATCGTATGATATTTGCACAGTTATATATTATTATTTAAATCGATGTTTGTACGAAAAATTCGTTTTAGATTCTGAGTAAAGTGAGGAATGTAAAATGATGTTTAGATATATATTTTTTTATGTATGTACTATAAATAAAAATCCTACCAGAAATCTTGCTCCGATATGTGAAGTGTAACCCCTTTTCTAAAAGAAAATTTTGTCTAGTTGGTACTTTAAAAAGTTCGTTTTTTTTGATTTTCCAGACAGTTTTCATAATAATTAGGAAAACAATCGAAAATCATAGAAAAAAATAGGAAGAATTGACGAAAATAATGCTTTTATATGATCAATTTTGTTATAATTCAGTTAAAAATTTATTCGTAGTGACTTGGAATTTGGATAGAAATCTTATATTTGCCTTTTATAGACGTGTTAACATTTTTAAAACGTTCGAGCTATTTATAGACATTTTAATTTTGGGAGTTTTTTTTCATAATTTTTATTCGATAAGTAATATCTGTGAATAAAATTGTTGGACCAAAACTTCGACGAGAGTCGTAAATATTATTACCTTTTAAAACTTGGCTCAGAATCGTTTTTCCGTTAGCAGGGATTAATCGTTGCGTACAGACACACATTAAATTCCACTTTATATCCTACCTTCCTCCTATCTTCTCACAAGGAAAATATTAATACATCTGCAGGATATCAAATAGTTAAACAACGATTTATTCGTTATTTACACTTCAGTATAGAGTATAGATATTACAAAATAATCGAAAATGGTTATGACCGTCTACATAGATTGGACTGCACTGACGCTGTTTGATAATGTATCTATACTGCAATAATTATATGTTTATAGTGATAGTTTTCTCTTGCTCGTTATTTGGTTATAACGTTTTCTCCTTTTTGGTTTGTAAAAGTGAAACACTGACGGTATCTATTATGTACGAGTATATATATATAGCTGCAGAACGACAAAAATCGTCCAGTCGAAATGTCCTTTGAAAAAAATTGAAAAATAATACTGTAGTTTGTTGATGTTAGTATAAAGTCAGTACAGGTGGATTCTCGTGTAGGTTATAATGTACATATGTAATAGTGGTTGTATAAGTGTACAACACATCATATGCAGCCACGCAAGATGATTTTTGACCAGCTATATACGAAAAATGTGAATAAAGTTAATTTTGGATGTTCCATTCATTATGGAATAATATTACACTCTTAACGTCATTAAACTTACAATGTGTTTTCGGAATTTTACCCTTGTTCGTAAAACCGACTTTTGATTTTCAATTAACAATAAATTATAGCCATCTGTATTCTGTATCCGTTTTTATTATAATCTCGGTTCCGAATAGAAAATATAATTTTATACTTAAAACACACGTATAATACTCGTCCGGTATGAATTTAAAACTGTTTTAACTCGTATAAACGGTACATAATATAATGTTATAATAATCTTCTATAATCCTTACAACCGTCGGTTCGTGATTATTAAACATCGTCCTGTATTATAGCAAAATTAATAGTTTAAATACCTGGATATAAAATACCAGATTATAAATAATCTGATGTTTAATCGCACATTTTAATATATGATGATAAACGATGATATTAAACAATAGTTTTCGTTGTGAATTTTAGAATTTTATAGGTATGTACGAAATAATATTCTTATCGTGGTAGTGTAGTAATATTATTTATAGGTACTAATTATTCTCATATTTCTCGTTACATGATAGAATCGAATTTAATCGCTTATTTTTAATATTATGTATATGTTATTGGTGTATTATAGAAATCGAATTTATCGGGTTATTTTTGTATTGTATATACAATATAGATACAATCAAATCATAAAAAAAAAACAAACCGAAAGCATACGTTTCCCATTATTTACAATGAGGCTCATCAAAACCTGGACCACCATTATAATACTATATACTAAAATAGTTAATTTAATTAAATTTTAATTTGGAACATATTGATGAACGATTACTTTCATCTATGTATAGGAATAACGGATTTTTTTCTCTCTTCAAAATTTAATTTTCTTAATTTAAGGCCCTCCTTTCCTAGGACCAAGGGTTGACAAAACGATAGATCGATAATTGTTTGTTTCACGGTTGGATGAAAACCGAATCGTATATATTCTACTTCTCATACTCCTTTGCCTTCATCCGAACTATTTGGAGTCGGTAACCCTCGTTCTAAACTTTCACTCTTCCACATCAACATTGCATACAACGGCCGTCCTCGTATTCTCAATCGCACATTCACCCCTAGCCTTTTTCGGTCTTCCTCTTCCCCTCTTACGATTTCGGAACTGTTAATTAACGCCTACGTCGTGACACTCAGTCATACGCCTTCTCTAAAACTATATAAAAAAAAAAAAAACATTTTTTACGGGTTTTCACATGGTTTTCTTCGTCTCTCTAATACTCGTGTACTTTTCTACAATCTGTCTAACACAGTACACGACTTCACCGTTGAAAATTTCCTTGGCCATAAAATCAAGGTGTTTCTTACGTATTTAACGTCTCAAATTTAATTCACTTTTCTATAATCTTTTCCCGAATCTGTATACCATGACTCATCTGCAATTGTATTCCACTGTAATTTCCATACTCTTGTATGGTTTCTCGCCTTTAAATATAATCACGTAGATAGGTATCACAAAACTTAGTAACCACCTAATATATTCTGGTATACATATATGTATACGTATGTATTTATTTATTATTGTGTATTTGTACAGTCGTTCGAATAAATATCATAATATGGCTTTTGTAAAACGAACATTGAACAATAATAATTGTATACTATATACGTGTTATAAACGTGTCTCGGAATGGACATACAGAACGACTGTATGTACGCGCTAGTGCATTTCTCTGACGCTCGGACCCGAAAGGGTTATCCATTATAATATGATATTTGTGTTTGTCGCGAGTTAGTTAATCATTTTAATCGATTCATTAACATTGCGTATGAGTCATATAATAATAATATTATAGATTTTACGTTTATCGGACTCGGTTGCGCGCGCGTGTGTGTCGCGTTGTGTATAATATCATATTTGTGTGTGAACGATCCAAATGCTTTCAGAGAGCTATAATACTAAATATCCAATATACGACGACGACGACGACGTGGTTGACTCATATATATATATATATATGCTGTTGTAAACGTCGTTGTTGTCGTCGTCGACGTAATGTTCTCCAGACGATAAAAAAAAAAAAAAAAAGACGCTCGTTTTGTGTTCAATATACGCGTATCTCTTGAACGATTTTTTTTTTTTTTCGTTTGCCGAAGAAAATGCGTGCGTAAGTACTGATAGTATATACGTATGCTATGCATATATGTATAAAACACTCGTATATCGGCTGTAGACCTTAGGGCGCGTTCAACAAGAGTTTGAAAATAAAAAAAAAAAATTACCATAGATCCTCCCCCCCTCCGCGTAACACGACCGCGGTCGATGTATACCGGTAGTGCGGGGGGCGATAAACACAAAAGACGAGAGGAAAGCTGCGGAAAATAACGAGACCGTTTTGGAATTCAAATTTCTTCTTCTTCCCGAAGCTGTTACGACAATAGCTTTGGGTCGCGATCTCGTACACAATACGCGTGTACGGCTAGGAGATCATTGTTATTGCCGAGTAGGTATATTATTATTATTAAACCCGATTTCGCGTACCTATTATTATTATATTATATTCACTGTATTATTCGGTGTCTCGCGTGTGCGTTTAACATCATAATAAAAAAATGAGTCGCCGCGTGTGTGTATACACGAATGACGTCTATATACTTTTTATGATTCATTACATATATATATTATGTAGGAACGGTTTTTGTCCATCTTAGATTATTATCGCCGCCGCCGTCACCGTTTGAATGATTCAGGACTAAAATATATACGAGAATAATAATAACGGCGGCGGCGCGGTCCGAGAACGGCTGTATATTTTTTTACACTTATTGTGTAGCGTTACATTGGACGTAAACGTATTTAATAGGTTTTTCGGAGAAACCTGAAGTGCTGCACCGCGAACATAAGTCATATCGGTTCGCGGGATTTTGTTTTATATATTTTTTACTTTAATTATCTATTTTGTTATGTAAAAAAAAAAACTAATAATTACTATTTAATACCGGTGTTCGAGAAAATTTCGACGAACTACGAGAGTGGCGAATGTAGGGGTTTTATCGGACGGGGATTTCGTTGCGAACAGATGATCCTTGTATCATACTGTAAAATAATTATTATAGTGTACTGTTATACGTAGTGCGTGTCGTGAGAGCGTTTCTAAACCCGCATCATAATATTATTTTGTATATACCTATACCTATCTAAGCCGTGGTAATTTTATTTTGTATTGTTTGGGCGACAAACGAAGAGAGTTGAAAATCTTAAAGTCACAACGAAAAGTCGGCCTTTAAACGTTTGAAAAATCCCTACGAAAAAAATTATCTATCGAAATATTCACAAAAGTCAGTATATTTCAGTGTGTCGACATGAAGTGTCCCTTAATCTTGAAAGTCATTGTAATAATAAAACCGGAAAATTCTACGGTTTTACGGCCGTAAACTGAAATAATATATATTGTTGTAGTGTCGCAGAAGCTGCAGAAACTCCTACATCCCACCTTCTAAACCCATAGCTGGAATCATTTTTCCGATTTTCAGATCGCACTTAAGATTTTTGCGCCGAAAATTTGCTTCGAGCTTTTTCATATTTGTTTTAAAAAAAATTCTTTATACATTTACTAGAGATGGTTGGGATTGATGAAATGTCGTATCTAAAAAATATCTAGATCAGAAGATTAAAGACAGAAGGTCGTCGATGGCGATCGCACAGCTGTTGCGTGGCAAACGGCCGTCGGGCGGCTTTTACACCCACCTACTGGTATACATATGGTACCCGCAGGATTTCCGAAAGATTCGTTGTGTTGTTTTACGACCGAAAATTTAAATATTTTACCAGAAATTTAGAGGCTGCCGTCGTTCGTCAAACATAATGAATATTCGCACGTGTGATCGAATTCTCTACGCCATTGGCATACATTTCCCCGAAAATCAAGTCCTCATCGAGTGTAAGTACCAAGTATACTAATAAGCAGTGCGAGGGGCTTAAGCCTGTTCAAAATATTCGAGCTGATCGCGTCTGCGTGTCAAATATTTTTGTGACTAATATATTATACGTATATACTCATTATATAGTTTTTAAATCGCGTAAGCATATAATTCGATAATTTATCGGATCGGTACAAATCGCGGTCAACCGAATACGAGTACTGAATAAATTGGCTGGAATTTAATTTTATCGTTCGCTGTGTTACATATTTTCTATTTGTGAGAATATGATATTATTATAAATCATGACGTGACTTGAGTATGACGTATGGCGTGATGTAATTTGACCGCGCACCTATATGTTTGTTTAGAGGTTTTTTTTTTTTTGGTTATCTAGCGTTCGATAGCGTTCGAGATTTTTGGCGGCTAAAATAAAGTTAATAATAATGTGTCGAAAGCTAGACGAAGAGATATTTTTGTATCGGACATAGCCATCAAAAAAAAAAAAAAAAATTATAATCCGAGTTGACACGATCGGGTAATAAAATAAAAACGCGACCGCCCACAATAAAATAACCCTCAAAAATGATAATGTATACAGGCTGTCCTACGAAGATATACCCCTGGAATATCTCCGGAGATAATAAAGATAATAAATCCTGTTTTCTAACCAATTTTTCAAGGATTTTTAACCAATTTCAGAAAATGAAGTGTACACAATTATACAACTAACAGAGAAGTGCAACGGATCTACTAAAAACCCGGGATTAATTTGCTTACCTTATGAGCAGATGAAATTTTGATAAAAACCTCAGAAGGAAAGATAAATAGGAAAAGAACCGAGGGTCGTCCTAGTCAGCGTTGAAAAGACACTTAGATTAAAACAAATGCACTCGGAGATAACAATAGAAAATAGCATGTTGGATAAAAACAGAAGGAGAATATAGTAAAAAAATCGAAAATCCTTCAAGCGCCAAGGAGAATTATAAAAGCTCAAGAGGAAAAAGAAGAATTTCCTATTTCATTCTTGACTAGATTTTCGGGGAATTCGAGTTGTTTTGTAAGTTGTTAGAAATGATAAAGGTTGAGTTGGATTTCATTATGAATTTAACTTGGTAGAGAGTGTGTTTTTAGCTTTGTATAGCACAGACTTGCCTAGTGAAATTCTGAGATACAATTTTGAACATACATGGCGATGGAATGTATCTTTTGAAGGTTTTAACTTTCAACCTCCTCTCCCCTTTTCCAATAGTTTTATGATCAAATATCACTATTTTTTTTTTAGAAGTAGTATAATTTCAGTATATATCTATTATAGTCTAGTATTGTATTATTACAGTATTTATTAGCTATTCGGTTGTTTATTATTACGCAAATAATATTTTTATCATAAGTACGGACAAATTTGACTTTGGTGATGAAGAAGCTCTGCTCCTCATGGGAGTTTTTATTTTTTATATCGTTTTACGTACTTTCTTTTCCCATTACCCGCTCGGCTATGGAAAAGAATAATAAAAAAATAAAAACCGTTGTCGCTTATCTAAATTATTTTTTCCGCTGTTTATAATCCGATACCGGAATTTGTAATGTTGTTATACTATAGGAAGAAGAAAAAAAAACTCTCGATATATTATAAATATAATTATTATATTATACAGTCTTGTGTGCGGGTTTTTCGCTGATAAAAGACACTCACAGTAATATTATAATAATTTTACTGCTCTATACACAATGATGGCCGCGATAAATAACATAATGAAATGCAGTAACGGTGTAAAAATAGTGAACATGATATCATGCTGGAAATATTGCGTCACGGACCGCGGGAACCTCCATAATATAATAACAGCCGCGTTGGCGAGAAGGAGCGAAACGTGTTGACGGTGACTATATTTTCCGTCGCACGCCCTTTCTTTTTCACAGGAAATTCGATTCGTCGACGGATCGTTAAAAAAATAATAATATTAAAAAACTGTCGACTTATTCTTTTTATTCATACCTCTTCTACGCCGGTAGGTATGTAGTGGTATCGTGTGCACACCGGGAGGACGCTAACCCGAAATCGACCCCGGTGAAAAAAAATTGACATGATAACATATTCGTCATTATACGCTGATTTTTCAGTTTTTCGTTTTCCTATATTCGAGATAGTCACTCGTAAACGTTTCTTACCCTTTCGTAAATATATAGCCACCCCTTTAAGTCGAAAACACTATATTTGCGTCCATATTATAATATATTACGTATAATTTTACTGTCGAAAACTTCAACGCACACTTTGAATACAATATTTTAAAGAATTATACCGATGTTGTATTTCAAGTCATAAATTACGAACCATTATACAACAGTGTACACTCGGCAAACTAATTAAATACAGGGTGATAAATGTTATCACGAACCAGCGGTTATCTCGGAGAGCTTATTCTCGGATTCACCGTTTACAAGTTATAATAACAGCTTAAAGTTTAATAAATTGAAGAAATATTAGAGTTTATCAGTTTATTATTTAAAAATAGTTACGAGGTTTATTATTACTCTTGTCCACTCTTCCGGTTTAAATTTCGAACTGTGTTTAACCCATAAAATCGCAAATCCGATATTAGCGTTATGCATACCAATATTTTTTAGAAAAATATTCTGTATTCGAATCCGGGGGGAGGGGCTCTAACGTATAATGAATACCTACTAATTTAAGGTACAAGGAGCGGGGGTATAAAATGTGTAGGTAATAGAACGTTTAAACGATTTTGAATACGTATAACGAACAAAGAACGGCAATCGAATTTATTGTAAATCCTCCGAGAAAATTGCCGGTTCGTGATAAACTGATCGCCCCGTACAGCTACGTCACTACAAAAGGTCGGCATCGAAAAATAAACCGGAAAAAGCGGAAAAAATACTCATTTCCTGAGCAATAGATAAACGAAAACAATAAATATTGCGATCATTATAGTGTCGAAATAAAAAAAAAATATGACACATTACAAACTGTATTGTTAAATAACACGACGTTATACCGTAACTTAAGGACAACGCGCGTCCATGGCGAATTTTCTGTTTAATTAACACGCTGAATATCCGTTGTTATTGCGTTTAAGTCACGGTAATATTATGAAAACATACGCGAAACATTCACGGGTTAATCAATTTTCTTTTATTAATTCATTCGTTTTGATTAGGCGGGTCGGAGGGCAGCAAAACGGCCATAGTCGTCTCCTTTTAAAATTTCTATCATTTTCTAACATAGTACTGCAGCACGCGCTTCACTTACACGCAGGCAATATTTGAACAAAAAACGAATATTAAGTATGGTACAATTTTCAAATTGTTGTTTCAAGTTGATTTTTTCGTATTTATCTCATGTCTGTATATATATATATATATACACGATGCCTAAATTTATATTCTTTAAATTCAACGTTATCAATCGACGAAAACTAACTGTGTTACGTGCAAAGGAAATCGCTAGAATCGGAATATTTTTCCTTACTGAACACATGACGACATTGATTAAATTAATCTGGAAGTCTCACAAATATGACATAAGTCGTCACATTCAATATCCCACCCGCGCTACGTTTTTTCGCAGAACATCACGTACGGTGCACAGAGGATTATCAACCGTAATTTTGAGTGAATTCATATCGTTTTTCCATTAAATATTATTCTGAGTCCTCAAATTACAAAATGTTATTTGAGCACAAACAATCGCGACCGTCGTCTATTAAAAAACCGCCGCGTACTTAATACTTGATGTATAATCGCAATGTTTTGGATATTACTATTTTATAACAGCACATAATTCGAATATTATACGTTAGTCATCGTGGTCGCACTCGTATTTTCGCTCGGTGTAAACGATATTATTTTTTTTTGTTATTGTACAATTAATTTTCAGCGTTCTTCCGAGACTGGTCATTCGGCTCGAGGAAGAAAATATTACACGAGGAAACGCGTGTGCACTGTGCATGTATACCTACGTATAATAAAATCGTATACTATCGTATAAAGGTCTCGTATAGATACATTCGCCAAGGTCGGACGAGATTTGTCATTCCGCCACACAACCGGTTTCTCTATCGTCTTAGTAGAGAAAAAAAAAACTACAATATTATTATTGTATGCGTGTTGTAGTAGTTATTATTCCGTTGCGCCGAGGAAGAAAATATTATATTTTGATAGTGATACACGCGGCGAAAAAAGACCGCTATACTTACGAAAGCCCGCGGATCCAAAATGATAGTCAGACTGTGTGAAAACGGGCGGAAAATCTGTGGATTCGAGAACCTGCGATTGGAAATATTGGGAGAAAACAAGCAGCTAAAAATAGGAAAAGATATGTTTGACGGGACGATAGAGGAAGTGACCCCATCCAAAAAAAAAAAATTGTCGATACCCTACTTTAGTACCGACCTAGACCTACATAAACTCTCGGGAGGGGGATATACAATTTAAAATGTTTGCCACCGACAGTTACTTTTTATGTATACGGATTTAAACCATGTACATATTAATGTTGGATAAAATTGAGTATTTACAATATTAGGTAAAATGTGCAGTTTATACCGCACCGTAAAAGCATAATAAACTAATGTTCAAAAATATCAAATGGTTGTGAGAAATTGGAAATTCGTCAAAAAGGTTTTGAAAATTATACTGTGTATGTATATCTATATAACTATTAAGTGAGATTTCTGACCTTTTCGATTATTTTTCACTGAATAAACAAAATACACTACAAAAGAAACCGTTACTGTGTAAATGTAACAGGTAAACGGTTTCTCTGGGTTTTTTTTTTTAGTATTCCTCATAATTGGGAACACTACAAAGAAAAGAAAATAATTACCTCCTCCGTTGCACCAACGAGATAAAAATGTTTTCGAGAAACCTTCACCTCTAAAGTTGATGATCGGTAGAACCATAGTAGAATATCAAATAAATATTACATATTGTTAGTTGAAAATTAGCTCGTAGTAATGTTGGTTTTTGGAAATTATTGAATCACGTTTAAAATCTTTGTGGGGGTTCGTGGAGGCGAAGCCCCTCGCGGGTTTGGTTGGTTTCAATAATTGCGAGGGACGCTAATTATTTTTGAAGTCTTTATAATCCCCGTTTCTTTTGTTTTTCCAATTCGAGCAATTAAAACAAAACTGCTATTATTATAATTATGTATTACTCTAATCGATAGAATGACTCAACGCTAATTAAATTACAATTATTTGAAATCTGATAATAAAATACAATTGCGATTGTCACTTTATTATATTGTTGATAACAATAATATAATATTTTATTGTTATAAACACGATTCGTCATTTTACGGGATTTTCATCGCTTAGTCCGCTCGTAATTGATTATAATAATATTTTATAGAAATAATACACAGATATCTATACTATAATATGGATATCTGTGAAATAATATAATAATCATAATTGTTATCTTCGACGTGATGCACTGGCGATGGTGATGATGTGTACGGCTACTCTTAGCCGTACACACTCGAAATATACGAAATTGACCGCGCGAGTAACAAAAAGTTTTGAACGGTTGATGTTTACGAACATGAATATTTATGAATATTTTAATTTTAATTTATAATGTTTATGAATATTTTACGACGACTAAAAGTACCACGTACACTTCATTGCTCGCAGTGTCCCCTTGGTATCCCGTTAGTGTAGAGCAGAATTAATAATAGTTTGTAGATATTATCTTATTATCTATTACACCTTGTCGGTGGACACTGATTCTTTCGTTGGCGATTTTACCGCGATAACTATTAGGTAAGTTACGATTAGATTAGGTAAGAATATTTAAACTGAATTATTAACAGAACCGGAGAAGCATTGCGAAAACAGATTTTCCACTGATGTCGGTTATAACACGAAAAAATAAAAAAGGACGTCCTAGGATAATGGGATCGGGTGCAGCCACTGTTATAAGTAATTTGATGTACATCTGTAAGTAATGATAAACCATTGCTAACGAGAAAGCTATTCTGAGCGGAGTTCAGTTGTCATAATATGGTAAAATTCCAATTATTCTAATTCCAAAATTAAAATGGATTCCGTTTTTCTTCCGGTTTTTCGCATTTGATGAAAAAACTCTTAAAAAAAAAAAAAAAAAAACGAAAAATTACCTCTCTATAGTACCTTCTCAATGAAATTTTCTTTTAGAAAATTCGCTATCATTGTAAGTTTGAGGAAAATTGCTGGTAGAAAAGTCGTTCACAGAACAAATAAAGAAAAAATAATAAATTAAACATCTTTGTAAAACCATAAGTTTCTTCGCTCCACTCAGAATCTAAACTGAAAGAGCCGATACATACTGATGAATGTGCCACTGTTTAAGGAGAAAATTGGGTATTAGAGCGAGGATATTATATCGAGTCGTTTAATTTACATCGGTACGCAACAGAACCCAACAATTTATCCAATTTTCGTATATTTTAATGAACGGTGTTCTTGGCAGAGCCCGTATGGATATTTAAAAAATATCTTATTATGTCTCATTATTGCACATCTGTACAATAATTCAACTCATTGTCTCAGCCGTTATCTATCGTTTGGTTTTAAATACACCGTCTAAATTCTATACATAATAATATTAAAAAATATCCATAATATTTTTGAAAAAACCTTTGTGGGCCAGTTTCTAGACCAGATCGTTCTTGAGCAATAGGCGATGACTGATAAGACAGTCGACAGTCGTCGAGTGATGGTATTCGACTTATATATATTTTAGATTAGTATTATTTTCTACTTAAAATAAAATTGACTCGTTTTAAATCTGTTCGTTGAAATCGGAATATTGTTATTTGTTCAATATTGCAACATTATACACGTGAGCAGAGTAGGTTAGAACATTATTTGAAATTTTCGAAACTTTTACCGTCATAATAATAATGTACTCGAGAAATGCATACAATTAACGCAATTTGCCCATTCTTTTAGCAATTAACGGTAATTTTCATACTCAATGTCGTCCTCAAACGTCTCAAAATGTGCCGGCGACCGTAATTCGATGCTAATGTTATTGAAGCGCGTCTCGCTAATAAAAAAATTACGAATCAATTCGGTATATTTCCGTACTAGACGCTTCGTTTTTTTTCGCGTCGAAATGATATTATATTATACAAAGACCCGCGGGAAATGGTGTTTCGCTCTCCCCACAAACCATTTGTGTTTTATTAAATCACGATGACGCGCAGTCAATATTATACTATTATAGTGGCGTTAGGCGGATCGCTTCCCTCTACCCTCCAGACCGCGGCGACTCCTGACGATAATTTAATTTCCGCGCATTTTTCGCCGTATTTTTCCGTATTTACGGAAATTGATAAATTCTTGAATCGCATCACGATTACCCGTGGTAGTGGCGGATTTTCGACATTTTTTCTGTGAAGGGCCCTGAAAAATCATATGCGTTAAAAAGCATCTCTATTAATAGATGCTTCTTTTTTGGACGACATCTTATTGAAATAATATCAGTGTCCGGGGAGGGTCTCTATTTGCCCTCTCGCGGAACCGGTGAAAAATTCCGGACTTTTTATCGTATTCTCGCCGCATAAGCCTCGGGGTTTTTTTCCCCGTCACGAAACGACGTACCGCGACGTACCGAAATAACAGTGGCAAAGGCGTCCATCTTCGAAAACCCGGGAGGGGGGGGGACACCATATTTTTTCAATAATATTTCCTAATCGCCTGTGCTATTTTGATTTTTTTTTTTTTTCAATTACGCCGTCAACGACCCGTTATGGTAAACCACTAGCGAAAATAATCCTACCATATGTAACGTACATGTATTTAATATGAATTACGATATTTTATGTGTACACTTTGTATAACGGACAGGGCCGTTGGGGGACACGTCCCCTGCTTTCCCACCGTTCCCCCTCCACCAATGTGCGTATACCTAGCGATTGTGATACCGGCGTGTTTATGGACGAAAAAAAAATTTGTTTGAAAAACGAGCGCCGGGGCGGCCGCGGTATCGCCGCCGCCGCCGGTTCCGTCTCGTCATTCGCACCGTCGGGGCGGGGTGTTAGGGGAAGGGCACGGGCCGGCGGGGAGGGGGCCGATTATTTAGCAGACGAGGTCGCCTCGGCGGCAGCGGCGGCGGCGGCGGCGGCGGCTGATGACTAACGCCGTTTGACAATATTAGTCGCGTAGTTGTTGTTCCCCCCCCCTCAACGCCGCCGCTATTTTGCTCTCGGGAGGACCGCGTGCGCGCGGATCCCGCCAACACCCGCATTCGACTGCCAGTAGTCGTCGTGCCGCGTCGTCGTTTTCTGCGCCCGTCTCCAGGTTACTGTCCGTGTACGTTTATTTCGATCGCGGCGTTCGTGGTTTTCGCGTGATTACGACGTTTTCGGCCCGGTCGGTCATTATTAATCTCCGTTATTGTTTTCCGTCCGGAGTGCACGTTTTTTTTTTTTTTTATTTTCTCCTTTCAAAGCGCATTTACAATATCGCCGCGTCAGTTATCGCGAGTGTGTACGCCGTAGACTCGTCGCGCCGTGCTCCTCCCCCGTACAAAAATCTAACTGTTATCGTATACATTGTTGTACACCGAACATTGCAAAGACGCTCTCACGAAAAATGACCGCCGCAGTAGGACACAAGAAACTCACGTTGAAGCTCAAGCTGTCCCTGGAACCCTGCCCCACTTGGAGCAGGACCCGTTCAGGTACCTATTCGACTGTACACTAATTATCACACGACGATAGAGCACCTAATTGTGCGCATACGGAGCCGTGCGCAGACTTCGTGTCTGAGAAAGAAAGAAACCGGGCTGCGAAATCTGTTATCAATTATGTGGCGGGCCCCCTGACGAAAGTATTGTGATCACGACGGAACCGCGATAGTTCACATACGCGCGCTGTGGTTTTGAAACGAATCAATAGCATACGTAAAACCGATACAAACTATACAGAAATTTAACGGACGGTCGATCGGGTTTGGGGGGCCCCTGCGCGAAGCAGCAGACCGTGTTGCCTAGTATACACTCGTCGGCTGTCATCGGACGGTCTTCGAGAGATATGTCCCGTGTCGGAAACGGCTATTATACTTTACTTTAGAGAGACCGATAGACGTATTTGGCGTTTAGGCACCCCATCTAGTGATTCACGTATGTTTGCCGAGCGAGTTTCGTGTTAGATTTTTCGGAAACGTCCGTAAATCACGACGGAAACCGAAAACGAGCCGTTTTTACCGGTCCGATTGTAAATAAACGAGAATCGACTGTACATGTAGATACGCGTTTATGCACTTTCGCCTGGCGTTGTTTTGAAAAATTGTATTTATTTTTTTTCCCCCCCGCTTTTCGTTCATGTGTATATATTTATGTACGCGCCGACTACCGAAGTTTACGCGACAAAAAAATATGGACACAACGTATGGAAAATCGAAAATAAACCGATTCAAACGTATGTACCTACGCTTTCAGAACGCAACAATCGTAACAACAACGGAACGAAACCTGAAAACCGAGACAATCGTCGTCGTGGTCGTGTATAAGAAAGTCAGCTCCGGATTACTCATTGCTAAATATTTTATAATTCTACGATCTCGCTGTTATATGCTCGTAACTCGTCGCGTACCCGTGTATTTTTGAATTGGCGCATTAACGTAGTAGTTGTTTGTTTTTTTTATTTCGTCTTCGATATTAACTAACACTCGAAGACGAATTTTCGCAAAACACTCCAATTATATTGTATAGTAGTTTTAATTCGATCCGCAATTTATCTATCGTACACGAGATACCTATCGCAATATTACTAAACCGATTTCGCCTAATTGAACGCGACAACGGGACACGTCACGTACGAATTTTCAAAAATTACGAAAACCGCCTTGAAAACGCCTACGGTTCTGTGTCGTAAAATGACCGCACGCCATTAGGTGTGATACGCCGTTTTTTTCGTTTTTTTTTTTTTCTATTTTCTCCATTACGTATTTTCGATATTATTGAAAAACCGAAACGCCCGCCCGACCTTTGCCGCGTTTAGCGATTCGACTGTCACGATAACGTTCCCACGTAGCACACACCGCGATTACAATAGCGTATTGTTCACGCAAACGAAACTGAAACCGTTTTTCGAATTCGTATATTAGGCGTGAGCACGACGGGCGAAACGTTTTCAAAACTATTTATGGCACAACGATTCCGTGACAATTCAATCGGATTTTCGTAAATAACAAACGGTCGACGGTTATACCCGACGGACGCAACAAATACGGTGTGCCCGCGATACCGGGCTGTCGCCGCACATTGTAGGTAATCTACGGCTCGATCGGATCCAAACCGAAATGACCGGTATCGTTGTAATCGTGTTGCGCCGTTACACCGTTAGTCTGGTATTTCGTCTGCACGCGTATTCGGGCTCGGCCGTTTTCGACATTTTTACTCGTGGATAAAACGTCGGTGGACACGACGATCCGGCTTGTTGATCCAATCGCGATGTTAATGCGTACACCTATACTCGACCGTGTAGGTGTTTTAAAAAAAAAAAATAATAAAAAAAAAATAATAAAAAAAAAAAAATAATAATAATAATAGGAAAATCGCGAATAAGAACGACGAAAAATTTGCTAACACCCGTCGTATAGTAAGACCAGGGCTGGATAAAGGGTGTGGGGGGTCTAGGGGGCTACGGCCCCGGGCCGCAAGTGGGAGGGGGCCACGCGACGCGTGTTTTCGTCGGTTTGCACAAATTCCGCGAAAAACGCCCGGAATCGAAAACCAATCGCGCGTTTACGTTCTTACAGGCCGGCGGGCGTTTGGAACGGTTTTTCGACCAATGCTAATATCGCGTTTCGTCTATCCCACAGGTGGCCACAAAGAATTCCATTCCCGGCACAAGGACATGTGCGACAACGCGGCGCCGGTGTCGCCGCCCGTGCCGCTGTCGCGCTCGCAGGAATCCCGGGAACTGATGGACAAGCACCCGCTGACCAAAGTGCTGCCGTTCATGTACCTGGGCAACAGCCGAGACGCGGAGGACCGGGACGGCATGGCCGACAACCGGATCACGCGCGTCCTGAACGTGACCACCAGCCAACAGTCGCCGTCCCCGCCGCCCGCTGACGGCGTCCTCTACAAACGTCTGTCGGTGCTGGACAACGGCCACGCCAATTTGAAACAATATTTCCAAGACGCGTTCGACTTTATCGGTGAGTCTCGATCAATGATGATAATAATAATAATATTGATTTTATTATCGTCCCCGTTACGCGGCCGTCTCGCCAAACACCCCCGCCCGTTCGGTTCGATTAAAAAGCCGTTATAGACGTTATACGAGCGTTTTTACCCGGTCAATACCTCGGATCGATTCATCTCGACCAATACCATTATGATTATTGTTATTGTTTGTGTGTACATTGAATTTTATTGCGTTATCCGAGGGGACGAGTATATACTGTACGATGTGAAGCGACAGTGGTGTCGATAGGGGGGAGGGGAGGAGGGGGCCCGTTCACATAATAATCTTCCCGCGTTTCGGCGGCGCCAGCCGCGCGCGAACCGGTGACACGGCGCGGCGCGGACCGGCGATACGCGGTGGTGTGAAATAGGGCGGGAAAACGGGCAGCATGAGCCTCCCCTAAAATAGAAAAAAAAAAAAAATTATACACCCCGTGAGTCATTTATACGCGCGTACAACTGCAGTATATACGGCGTGACAGCTGTACGCCGCGCCGCGGACACATGACGTCACCCGACATGACGGGCCCGGGTTTGACCGAGTTTTATTGTTTGTATTGTTTTCGAAAATAACACGCGGCCCGGCGGCGGCGATCCCTCGTCGCGCTCATTGTTGTCAACAACGGCGCGGACACCCATCCGGAAACGCGCGGCCGCCGCCCGTCCTGACCCGCGCGCGCGCGCGCGACACGACGACATAATAAACAATCGACCGCGCGCCGCGGTATTTAAAAACCGGGAAACCATTAAGGATTAACGACGATTGCGGCGGCGGGGGCGCAGAATCCCACGGAAATCGCCCCGTCTCGCGGGGCGGCGGCGAGCGGTACGGCGCTTGTTGTTACTGTCGTCTCGCCTTACCCCGGGGACCGCGCGGCGCGGCGTTTACTTTTACCGTGTATTAGAATATTCTATTATCACTAGCGCACGAGCGGATTTCTAGACGAGCGCGCGCCCGTAGTGCTGCGGTCGCGTTTGGCCATTTATAGCTCATCGGCGCGCACGACCTCTCGCGTGACTCATACGCCGCCGCCGCCGCCGCCGCGGAGAGCTGTTCACACCGGTAACGACGACGCCGCCGGTTTATTAAACATAAAAAAATAAAAACAAAACCAAAACAAAACAAAACGATAATAATAAAATTCACGTAGCGCGCTCGTCCGCGCGTATTGTAATACTGCATTATGAGCGTACGTACGTTCAACACGACGCGAAAAAAAACTTCCGGCGTGCCAAAAACGTACCCGCACGCGATTCCGTTAGCCCCGGATTATCCGTGGGGGGGCGAAAGAAAAATCGCTTATAATACGCAACGATATTTCGTCGTCGACTCCCGCTGCGCCCGTCTGAGCGTCGAAGAACATTGACGAGCGGGACAAAATGTAAATCGTCCCGTGCGCGGTCGTTTGTTGAAACGGCTGAAATACCTCGATTAGAAATAACACGTTATGTCCTGCGCGGTTTCGAAAATTCGGTTAAATTAGGTTTGGTTGTTAAAATGTAAAAACGTGTTACGTGTCCAATCTGTAATGGCCATTGTTGTCGGGCGTTTTTTATGCCGTTTTTTCCGTTTCTCCGGGTTCCAGTGTCACGTGGGAGGTTGTTTTTCGACGACGAAACCCGTTTAAATTTCGGTTATTTCCCGGCGTATAAATAATTAACGATACCGCGAGCCCTTCTGCCCCCTCCCCCCCAAAACCCCCATTTATTAACAATATTGTCGCTAATGACTCATGCGCAGTACAACAGTATACCCGCGTGTATACCGTATAATTGCCCCGTGATTGTCACCCCTTTCCCCGTGAGCATAAGGCGACCCCTATAATACACACCATGATATTTTTCGTGTGAGAGGGTACCTACCCACCTACTTTATACAACGTATAATATTGTATGTAGGATTATTATTATATGCACGTGACCCGTCGACGTTGTATAGCGGTGCATACAACGGACGTCGATGACGTCACGGAAGCTCCAGTTCGCAGTGTACGCATCGCGCGGGATGCCTTCCCCGATATCATAATGTACAATATTCTATGTCCTTCCCCTCCCCCCGTTTCCAAGGCTATTAATTTCAATAAACCGCCCGCGGGATAGACGAGATCAAAGTATGTGGCCCGTTCACCGTGGAAATCCATAATTAGAACGATGGGTAAGAGGGAAGATGGGAATGCGGTATACGCGGGTACATTCATGTCATATATAAACACCCAACACACCTATTGAGTGAGACTCTTCAGACGGAGGGAGTAAAGCAAAAAAAAGTCATCAACAAGTACAACAATATTTATTGTCTTACGTCTGACAGTTGATAGATTACAGATATTAAACGAACAAATCGAAATTATGAAACGACATAATTATTCTTCTCGGCCTCGGAACCGTTTCATATTCAATCCTTCGGCCGATGGATCCGTCGGTACTTTTCTGCGGATGGCCAATCCATTCGGCGAACACAATATTCAGTGATTAGATACGTAATGCGTTTGGCGTATAGTATGCCGTGTCTGTCAGTTATTATAAAACAACCATTTCCGCGACGTTGTGTTCCGCGAGTAATTTGTAACGGTATAACTTTATAACTACCAATTGTATATTATCGATTTGGCCACCGTCATTTTGGCAATCGACATTTCGTGTAACCCAAACAATAGAGAAAAAAAAGAAAAAAAAAAGGTCCAAAGGTAACACACAAATCTCTCCCCCCCACCACTTCATCCAATTATTACGCGATTGCCATGCGTATGGTATGTCACGGGTAATTGTAGAAAATCGAACGATTGTCGCGTCCGCTGTTCGTTCGGCGGAACCGATTTCGCGGCCGTTAGTTTTAATATTGGCCGGGCGCGCAGGCTCACGAATGTAAAAGCTATGGGATCACCGGCCGCGTTCGCGCGTCGGGATGTTTCGGTTTTTTAACGGTACACGGGCGTGCGAGCTATTACCGTGTGTTGTTCGAAAATTTCGAAAGACTACCGGGGGGAAACGAACGCCCGACGCAGTTGTCCATTCGCGGTTCGCTGCAATGGAAAAACCGTACAACGGGCACGGGCGGACGGTCCGCAGAGTGGTTGGGCCGGACGGAAAATCGACGTCGTTCGATTCTCGCTACACGCGCCGGCCGCGTCGCGTACGATAACGCGCCCGAAATAGACTCGCGAGCGCCAATAACGAACGCGGTACGTATGTAGGTGCGTATACATAATATCGTATTGTACGTTCGTACGAGACGGTTACGTCCCCGAGTCCCGCGGAGCCAAAACTAGAATCGTAATAATATCGGTCCGCGAACGCCGCCGTCGCCGTCGCCGCGGCTGCCGCGCGCGTCTACGCCGGACGTCTACCAGAGACGCGCGGGACGGGCCGCGTACTTTTAGCCGAATTCGGGTACCGCGCGCGCGCGTCGCCGCCGCCCGTTTATTTCTGGCCCGGGCGTCCGCTAAAATTAATCTCAAAACACCGGCGTCTGTATCCTGTTGACGGCGCCGCCGCGGCCGGTGAGTCATTTTTTTCTTTTTTTTTTTTTTCTATCGTTTTACACGTTTTAGAGGTAATGCGTTGTTGTGCTGTCGCGCGTACCATGCGGCCCGCGCTCCGGGCGCACGCGGCGGCGGTTCGCTGTTTACACCGCGCGCGACATGTATTTACCTTGTTCCGCCAATATTTGTTCGGCGCGGTGTTACAGCGTTACGAAAACGAAACGGACGATGCGAAAAACCGAACCGCCCCCCCCGCCCCCTCCGGAAGCCCGTCGAGTGTACGCCGCGCGTACTCGACAATAGTAATCATTGTTGCGGACGCTGTCGAAACAGTGTCCTCGCGTGATAGAAACGGGCTCTTGTCGCCTCTCCCTATAATCTCCGCTCCCGCGTCCCCCTCGAAATAAAAAAAAAAAAAAAACCGTTTGTACTCATTCGTCGCGTTTTCGATCGTTTTACAGAAGGCGCCAGAATGTCCGGCGGCAGCGTGCTAATCCATTGTCAGGCCGGCATATCCCGGTCGCCGACGATAGCCATCGCGTACGTGATGCGCTACAGGAAAATGTCGATGGTGGACGCGTACAAAATGGTCAAAACGGCCCGACCAATCATATCTCCCAACTTGAACTTCATGGGACAGCTGCTGGAGTTCGAACAGGACAACGTCCAGTTCGAACAGCAGCAGCAGCAACAGCAGCAGCAGCAGCAGCAGCAACAGCAACAACAACAGCAGCCGCCGAGGTGCGGCCAGTCGTGGGCCGCGGCCCAACAGCAATCCGCGGCCGAAGAACTCTCGCCCGGGTGTAGTACTTAGGCGCTCCGTTTTTAGGGCTAATTTGAACGTGTGTGTGCAGGACAGAGACAAGGTATCGTGTCCCCGCTACGAGCATGCCATTTAATTACGATAAGAAGATAATAATATGATAAGATAATATAATATCGTTACATTTGAGATATTCCAACCTATAAAATGTGTTCCTAATAATTAGTTTTTCCCCCTCTCTCTCTCTCTCTCTCTCTCTCACCCACTCTCTCTCTCTCGCTCTCGCGCGCGCAAAGTGTAAAACGTATATTATATTATAATTAATAATTTTATTATTCAAAAAAAAAAAAAAAATCAAAACAAAAAAAACCGATGGTTATCGGACGATAATAATATATATATATATATATGTATATATATATATATTTATACATATACATATATAGTTTAAAAAACAAAAAAAAAAAAAAAAACGTACGTGCGTATCTTTATAAGAATGTGAAAACGGTGATGTATTTTAAAATAACTATAATAATATATTCATATATTATGTTGTATTTATGAATGTGTGTAATATTTTTGTTGTTTTAATGCGAACGACGAAGAAAGAAAACCGCGTGTACCTACCGTCTTGATGTTGTTCTCGCGGGTTTCTTCTTTTTTTTTTTCTTGTTTTTTGGGACTTGACACACGATTCGAGGAAAACGAGCATTATAATCTAGTCTTGAAAAAAATTGTACATAAGTGAATTACTACTATCCCCCACCCCCTCCCCCAGAAACGGAGACTATTATTATTATTATTTTTTTCACCATTATTATTACTATTATTACTATTATTTTATTGTGACTAAGATTATTTATATAAATATATATCATAATATATTATGTATTGATGTCCAAGATAAAAAAAAAAAAATGTTTAAAAAAAACAATGATTGTACATAATTACTATACATATTATATTATTATATTATCATGGTTTTATCAACATGTTTTCATTAACAAAAAGTAAAAAAATAAAGGCTGTGTTTGTATAATAGATATATTAGAATAACGATTATGTACTCCCCCCGTCAACACACACTTATATGTAATGTATTTTTTTTTTTTTAAATTTGAGTCAATAACGTGTAGTGATTTGTATTTTATATTTTACCATCCAAATACAAACGAAATATTATTTTGACTTGCTGTTTTTTAATAATTTATAATAATGTTTTCTATAGGGACCAAACTATAGTGATGGGGGGGAGGCTACTACTGATGCGGCGACTTACTGTTCACTCCCGAACTTACGACGAGAAAAAATCTTTTATTTTTCTGTAAAGACGGTCTGCCAAAATGGACTCTTTGGCTATTTTCCCCGTCTCCTAAAAAAAATTCGATATTTGTATCGCATGTGTATAGGTGTGTATTGTGACGAATCAGTTACTATAATATTGTTTATAAATTATATAGATAGAGAGTAGATGGGTAAATATTTTAACCGGGCAAATGGAAGACTGGTTTTATATTTATTTACTATAGACCGAGTAACTACTATATAGATGCAATGGATTTAGTAAAATTTCGGAATACTAACAGCGTTTTCCGTCCGACTACACCCGTGTGCACTGCACGCCGGCCAGTGGTACCACTGCGCTCTTCGAGTACACTTGGAATAATTTTAATAAGAATTGAAAGGTAATCGGCCAAAAACGACACGGTGTAAAAACTGATGAGCGTATAAAACGACAAGGTAAAAATGTCAAATAAATTTTACTTAAAAATTACAAATATTAGTGGCTAATTGCAGGCCAATTGCAACCCAATCAAGTAACTTCCGTCGTTTGGCTACATATTCCAGGAGCGTCCTGGGTTTTTTTTTCGAAAGGGGGCTGAATGTATTATTTTTAAGTAGTAATAATACGATTTATTTTTAAATATGGACAGAATAAACTCAAAACATTATGTGAAGAATATTTAAGTGGGAAGAGATATACCAAATTTTTAATTAGTTACTGTATAAAGTATACGATATTTATGATTTATTATTATTGATTTTAATTAACTTAAAACTAATGTTTGTGACGCTTAAGTAAAATGTATTTGACGTTTTTTACATTGTCGGTTTTTACCGTATCGTTTTTACTTGAATTTTTTTCCTAGATTCTAATTGAAACACATAATTATTATTATCATAGATCAGATTACACTGAATCCCGGTAAAAAAAATCCCCACGAAAAAAACCCCCAAAGCGACTATACTGCAAAAATTATATGTATGAAAAAAAATTGAATATAGTTAAATCATCAACGGTTTGAGTGTCAAACCTGATACAGCTGTCAAAAGTAATAATAATAAATTGCTTAAAAAATATCGTATCAGTCAGTCGTTCGCTTGCGTATATTATTGCATACAGCAGCCAAAAAATAAAAAATAATAATAAAAATGTAAAAAACATATAATATTGTATCAGTCAGTTTTATTACGTATATTATTGGATGCTGCTGTCAAAAAAAATCAAATGTATTTTCGCTCATTTCGATTAATTTACAATTAATTAATCGTTCTAAACAATTGATTTTTTTTTTTTTGAACATATATAGATAATGCATAGGAATATTACTGGCAACTAAAATAATTTTAACCGTAATCATTATAGTTATGTGGGCTTCACTTGAGAGAGAAGATAACACAGTTATTTTTCTGGAATGTTTGTTGTTTCGTTTGTAATCTATATAGACTAAAAAATCATTTACGAATGGCAATTATTAGACGGTAATTTATACATAATATAAATAAAATTGGAGTATGCCCGTACATTTTTTTAAATATTATTATTATTATCGGTTGTTCTGGGGAATTTTTTTCCCCCGGAGATTTTTTTTTACCGATTACACTACACCGTCGTAACGGAATTTTATACGGTTATGTGCGATGGCGGCAGGTGATAGCGGGCAAATGTGTACACTGGTGTAGGCACACGAGTATAGTGCACTCGGATGGAAAACGAAAAAAAAAAAAAAAAAAAAAAAATACTAACTTATTCGGGTTAAACTCGGCCGGTTACACGTACGATACTATACTACACCTGTAGCAAGTGCTTGACATCGCGTGTAACCTAACCGGCCGGGGAAATCGGGCGCGGCGGAGGAAACTGACGTTTCGACATTGCTCGGAATAATATAACAATAATAATAATGAAAAATTAAAATCATGAAATAACCGATAACTCGTTATCGCGAAATTCGGTACGATATGACATCCGTGTCCGGCCGTAAATTCAGAACGGGAACATGGGCGCGCGCGGGGTTTGACCACGATATCGCGACTGTCCTTTTTCCCGGAACCGGAACATGGCCAACGTATTACCGTCAAGTATCTATAAAACCGGAATCGATATCCGACCCTTGATCCTGACGGGAAACGCGTGTCCGGTCCGCGAGGGTCAAAAGCGAACGCGGACCGACCGATCTCAGTTCCGACGGTTACCGTGCGGAAAAACGAAAAACCGTATCGCGTCCGTGAAGGGAGTGTTGCATTTCGAAAAGCCCCCAGGTATACTATGCGTAGAGCTGTTAAATAAAAAAAAAATATATACACACGAATCGTTCCGGAAATAATTTTTCAATACTATACAAATCGGGAGTTTTTTGGCCATTTGTATTGTATTATAATGCTTGAAAAATTAAACAATGTTCTTCCTAAATCACATTCTAGATAAAATATTCTTAGTTTTCTCTAATAAAAAATAAACATCATTGAAAAACCAATATATTTTTCATTCTAAAAGAATTTAAAAAACATTTCTTGATGCACCAACTAGTTTAAAAAATGTTACAAGAAAGTTCCTGTAAAGTTTTTGATTGGAGCAATATTTTTGGTAGAAAAGTTGTTTTTATAAGCATTAAAGAAAATGTATCTCGCAGTAAAACCAGTAAATTATTCGCGTCACCTGTGGCGCACACCAGGGTGGTCTGGTGTGTCAGTTGACACTTAGAAAATTGGTAGGCACCTGGTGCCAGGTGAGTTAGGATGTTATTTTTATGTACATTTAATTAATATTAATAATATTATTTTGTAATTGAGTTTTATTATACCTAAACTCATATTTTATTGGTGGGGTGGTTAGATATCTAGATATTTATATTTTCGACACCCTTATTAAAATGTACTGTTTGCCACTGTGCGTCACTCAAAATCTAAAAAAAAAAAATCGGCAATTTTAAAAAACTATGTAAAATAACTCAACAAACTAGAATATTTTGAAAATATCACCATGTCTAGAAAGTGACAGTATAAGTATTTATTGTGAATGGTTTCATAGGTCATTTGTTACTAAATTAAATTACAAAAATACAAAACATTATTAACTTTTTATTTTACGCTTTATATCTCACAAACTATATCATTTTATAAATAGTCCAAAAGTTTATAAACAAATTTAAACTATTAACACTGACCTATAATCATAGTTATGAATACAAACTACCAAAACTGTAACTATAGAAATGTATACATAGAGACAGACCAAACATTAAAAAGAAAAACAAAGTTATAATGTATAAATTACCGTGTTTATGATTATAATATGTTTGTTGTTGCTATATATCACAGTGTCGATATCATTTCTCTAAACAAAAGTTTATTGGAAATATCGATAATTACACGAAATGTGTCAACAAAACAAAAATAAAAATAATCTCATTTTAATTTCGAAAACCCGATTCATGAAGTAATAATGTAATACTATGCGAGCAATAATTGTTTGTTTAATGGTTTTTATCACAAAATCCAGGAATAAATTAATGTTTAAGGGTTTTTCAGACTAATTGATCCTGGCGGTACTATTTTTTTGGAAAAAATTTAGATGAATATGGATTAGCATTTAATTAGTTAAACAATTTAAGAAGTATTAAGAATATAGACAATAAGACAATAAAATACGACTTAAGAATGCTAAAATATAATAACATAAATGCAGCCTAATATGATTCCTATATCAATGAAAAATAAAAATTAAATCCACCTTTATCCAGTAATACCACTAAAGATAAATGGAATAA